TCTCTCTGTCCTCATTCTGCAGGTATCTCTGTTTTGAAGCAGCAGGATCCAGATCTGCCACTACAACACTCATTATTATCATTATTATTATTTATTAGTATTATTGATAACACTGGTACCTATAGATATTAGTATGATTATTTCCACTATAGCAATTCATGATTAACAGCAGATACGATAAGAGGTAGTGGCAGAGATAATGGTACCTCTGGCTTTAACTGTTATTATTTTCACTGTTACAAATAATCAACCGTATATAGTGCTTTTTCATGGTCTCTCTCTCCCTCATCTCCTCTTAAATCCAACCGGTTTAGGCAGATGGCACCCCCACCCTGAGCCCGGTTCTGTTGGAGGTTTCTTCCTGTTAAAAGGGAGTTTTTCCTCCTCCTGCTGCCAAGTGCTGCTCTTTGTGGGGTTGTCTCTATAATAAAGTAAGTGAAAGTGCCTTGAATTAATGGATATTATGATTTGGAGCTATACAAATAAAACTGAATTGAAAATTGAAGTTCCAGGTAAGTTCTGACATCAGGCTGAGACTATCACATACAGACATCTGTGTACGTTAATAGCTCTCTTAAAGTTAACAACTATAGCTTACAATTGGTAGTAACACAGAAGAACACTCGCTTGACTTATGTAAGGTGAGAACTCAAGTTTGGTCTGAGCCAAATCTAGACAAGATGAGCAGAACGTTTCCTTCCACTAGAGTGGAATTTCTCCACAACATAATGTGGAGAAATTCAAAAGGTAATCTTGTACTAAATACACTGTAACTTTGGAGGATATCCTTGTGATCTGGTTATCTAGATTGAAGCCTCATATCAACTTCAGCTGAAATTTGAAATGCATTTTCCCATGGAAAGAGTAGTGGATTTAGTCCAGTCTTTCACTGTAGAGTTGCATTAGCGGACAATCACTTCAGCCAAACAGGGCTGAAGGAATCATTACAGCAAACACTAACAATTTCCATGTACACTGAGGACTTTCATTTAATCTGAAACTGCATACATGCAGCAGTAACAGGCCACTCTGTGACAGACTAAGAGCCTAAGATACAATACAGCACAACACCTGCTATGAACATGAGCAACAACCAACATTAGCAACCGTCCTTTAAACCGTGGGCACATCATGTACAACACCTCGTCATACCACCTTGTATAAACTCAAATGTCAACATCAGTCAGAGTAGATGCTTAATTACAGGCTGTCATTCTTCAACACTACTGCTAATGAAATCCTGTCTCTCCTTAGCACATGGTACATTTAGCACATTGTCACATGGTCCCTCTCAGCTGTCAAAGAATTCTTGGCTGACAGGAAGTGGAACCTGACGCACTTTTACACTCAGCACAGTTGCAAAGAGTGGTTATCTAAGTAACCACAGCCATTCTGTCCATTCTTCTCTGACCTCTCTGATCAACACAGAGCTGCTGCTCACTAGATGCTTTTGTTGTTGCTCCATTCTAAGTAAAAACTGTTGTGTGTGAAAATCCAGGAGATCAGCAGTCTGAGAAACACTTAGACCAACAATCGTGAAGCTCCTCACCTGGATCTGCAGGAGTTTATACACTGCACTACACACTATGACGGGCTGATTGGATCTATCTATGTATTATATTGTATGTTTCATCATAGGATAAAGGTGATCAAGATGACTTTATTAATTAGTGCCACAGGTGCTCAGCTCCGAGGCACTCCTCTACAGCTAGAATTGACTAGAATTTTGGCGCGTAACTCTTCCCGCAGCTTTGAGAAAACCCCGGTAATATATACATCAAAACGTGCGTCTTGATCCCGAAAGAGGTGCTATGACTTTTGGTGTTAAAATTCCAATTTTTCCCAAAGTTATTCCCAAAATACTGGGAATAAATAATGCATTAGGAATGCATTGGAATTTTCTTTAAAAACCCACAAAATTTCACCTTTTTTCTACAAAATTTCACCTTTTTTCTGAGTCACCCAGCTCTCTCATACCTGCACGTAGAAATGTGATTCAAACTATAAATATATGTCAGTTACTGTTACAGGTCTATTATACACTGGTAACACAAAAAAAAGGACATACAAAGAAAATGCTATAAAATCATCATATATCAATATTTTTTTCTGCTTTTTTTTGCATACATCTCTTAAACCACTTCAGTTCTGCTCAAACCTACCAAATGTTTATTAGTTTTCAGGATTTTAACCCTTTAAATGCCAGTTTGAAGACATGTTGCCTCTTGTTTTATTAAAAAAAACAACACAGAATATGAGATATTTCCCACATAATACATGATGGAGGGATGTGACATTGTTTTATATCAGAGTCTTTTATATCAAGACATTTCTCAAAACCAGAATATGATCAGGGTGACTTTTGAACACTGGAAATAAATCATGTACTCATCCCGGCAGTAGCCCCCGTGGCACTCAAAATTTCCCTGGAATTTTCTAGTTAGTCTTGCTGTTTGGTGGTACTTTAAAAACACTGAAATCTTGTCTAACATCCAAATGTGTACTCTTTGTTTGTTTGTGTACTGTTGAACAGAATGTTATGGAGCCTGTTGTTCTTTTATTCATTGTCTGGTACCAGTCCACTACAACCACAGTCCGAACAATCGTAATCTACTGGCTAGTGTTAAACTCTAAAGCACTTGTGTGGTAAACAACAGGTCACCATCAAATCTTTTTTCCTATTAAGAACATGAAGAAAAGGTCAAAGTTAGACTGGAATTTGAATAAAAACCGAGTCATGTGACATAAGTCCTCGGCCTAATACTTTACCTGCACTGTGAGAAAAAGTCTACAGTGTGACTGTATACAGCTTGTGGAACAAACAACCACTCAGGATAAAGCACTGTGATTCAGAGCCAAATGTTAAATTCAAGGCAGCATCTTCATCATTAACATCAGTAATGAGTTGGCTTTTGGTGGGAGCTGTTGAAGGGAGACAGACTTATTTATTCACTATCCAGTCTCACACTCAACCAGGTAACCTTTCAATCCAGCAGCAGCACACCCCTTTAACTGACTTCAAATGCCAGCAGATAACGTGAGAATATTGATAAATGACCGCTGATCATTTCTGAATATAAAGGAAACACATGCAGAGGACAGAGAACTTCAATTCACTTTTGATTTGCATGAAAGCATAAATTCAAACAAGGCATTGTTAACACACTGCACTTTCCACCTGTTCACCAGGCGTCCAAGAGTGAGTGAGCAAAGTGTCTGTGGTAACACAGGGCAGCAAGCCTGCAGTGCTGCTGCAGGTCCCATAAAATCTCTCTGCAGAGATATGCTTGTGTGTTGTTTGTACAGCTGTTGACAAATCACATGTACCACTCAGAAACTCTGTTTGCAACAGGCAGGTCATCTCAGGTAAGAGAGCAAATTAGGCTGAAAGCAAACACATGCCTGAAAATAAAGTGTGAGGGAAAGTGTGAACAGAATGTGGGTGGATGACTGAGCGGCAGGTCTGGTGCACAGTGAGAAGGAGGAGACAGAGAAGCCACCAGGAAAATAATTGTGCTGATGCTCATCAAAGGAATGAGCAGTATGTGAATAGTGACGAGAAGAGGAGTGTAGTAGTTTGTTATGCCAGACAGGCAGAGTGTTCTGAATTTAATGTGGTTGTAAAGAGGAAAAGAAACTGTCAGCATGTCCTATGATATCATACTACCTCATATCAGCAGCTTAATAACAGGAGAGAGGAGCCAACAAAAAACATGAGGTTACAGTCTCCAACAAACAGCGACTACTCAACTAATGTTTACATTAAGTAGATGAAGAAAATCAGTCCATGAAAAAGGTTTAGGGAGAAAACACAAAGACTTAAGACAAGACAGTGAATGTGTTTGGGTTAGATATTGATACTGAGCTACACATTTATAAAAAAAAAAAAAAGTAGTTTCACATATTAATCCTTTTCTACTCCAGGAACTTAACTACAACAACCATCAATATACTCCTGCATCTACATCTACATCTTCTGCACCCAAAACTTCAACAAAAGGACAACAGTGCACAGACCAACATGTCCAAGCAAAGAGAGAGGGATCATTCAGAAGGAACTGGAGTCAGGACTTATAAAGACCAGAATCCTTCTCAGTGTGTGGTAAATGTGAGGAAACAACAAACAGCCAAACAGTGAAGAAGAAAATGGATACTAGAAAGATTAAGGTCCTGATACCTGCAGTGTTGTATGTGATTCAATGTGTAGAGCTTTCAACAGCCTGTAGTGATCTTGAGTCAAAGTGTCTCCTGTGGTGCTGTCCACCTTGGTGAGGTCGGTACTTGTTTACAGGTGACAGGCTGGGGTTAAGTCCAACACACATGAGCAGCGTCACATCATGAGACACACTCAACCCACAGGAGTGGATGCCTCATACAGACAGAAGAATTATTCAAGGTACAATAGCTACAATGAGGCAATGAGTGTGGTGGGTCTGGCTGCCTTGTCCACCTTTAGTGTTACATTGGGTTCATGTTGAGGTGAGAAAAACTAATGAATTCACACAACAATGGTCCTGGATTCTCCGTTGGTAAATAACATTTCACCTCATGCCCACATAAAAATGAAAGACAAAACCAATGTCATTTTCTCTACTGTTGTCTGTCCCTCAATGGACCCAAAATTGACACTTTGTTACTCTTCCCACCATCAAACTATCAAATTGATAGGAAACAGAGACAAAGTCAGAGAGACACTCAACCAGACCATGGGTCAAAGGGTCAGCTCCAGAGGATCAACGAATGGACACCATGCAAACTGGAGAGCATAGGCAAAATCTCCAGTTTGTAACAATAAGACTGTCTATTGATATTTGATTGTTTCTTATATAGGAAAAGTAACACCAGAAGGATTGATTATCATTAAGGTGTGAATCCTGGCCTCTCTGTGCCATGCATGAATACACACACACACAGACGCACGCACGCACGCACGCACGCACGCACGCACGCACGCACACACACACACACACACACACACAGGGCCGGGGCAGTGTGATTACCTTTGCCTCCAGTCCCCTGGCCTCCAGGTTTGTTGTAGAGGTAGATATCACCGTCAGCCAAGTCACTGCTCAAATGAAAGTAGTGCTGCAGACAGAGCAGAAGAGGGAATCAGCCCCTGGAGGCTCAAAGCACACAGGTCAGCCTTTATTTCATACATCTCAATGAGACTTGTCAAAATGATTTTAGTCTCTGCCACAGTGTTGCAGAGCTGGGAGCCTCCCTTATCTATGATTTATTCATTTTTAATACCGATCACTTTAAACAGAACTGTTTGTATCTGTCAGCGATTGTGCAGGAGGCATTTCTGCTTTGCAAGCAGAAGTTTCTTACAAGTTATAACTCACTCAGAAAAGTTGAAGAGTCAAACTGAATATTTAATTACTCAGACTTTTTCACCCCTAGTGAGACATGTGAGTTAGAGCTACCACAGATCCTCTTGTGATCAGTGACTCCCGCTGAACTAATACACACACTGTTGCAATGTTCTTTTTTTTCTTCAAGGAACTTCAGAATGGCTCATAGTGATGCCCAGTGCCGGGGTACAGTGGGCAAGCTGATGTGAGTGAGAAAATTAGCTTCATGCTTAGTACAGTAAAACCACAACTTTCAAATGTGTTGATAAAACAAATGGGATACAGCAAAAGTGAGCATTAGAGGTTAGAGTTAGGCTAGTTCTTTCCCCCTGCTTCCAGTCTTTATGCTAAGATAAACTAACTGACTAATAGACATCTTCCCATCTAACTGTTGTCTGTAAAGTGATTCAAAAATTTCCCTAAATGTCAAACTATTATTTCTGGTCACACCAGCATTTAAAACGAAATCAGCTCATTTGGATGGAGTTCTTTGTGTGATGCTCAAGATAATCCAATTCTGACATGTAATCTGACTGAAGCCAAAGCTTGACGGTTCAGAACAGAGGGGAGAAACTGTCATTCCTATACTTATCCTTCACTTATCTGCTTTGATATAAACTCGACTAAAGAGTCATGGTTGGCAGTTATATATAATAGTACAAATACCTCTCATGAATACTGTTTGCAAGTTTAGCTAACAAGCTACCTTAGAGAGTTTTGGTGTCTGACAGTCATTCATAAACCGTTCCTGTGTGAAGTCACTACATCACAAAACTTCTAATTCATCCTCATGTGCAGGCGAACTTCACTCCATCACTCTCTTCTGACTTTTTTTTGTGCAAAGCAATAGCACTGAAGGCATATATTATTATTCTGCAGACTTATGTGTGCGGCTCCATTGGGAATGGTGTGCTATGACTTTTCTAAGCAATTCAAGTAACCATGGCGACGTAAATGGCAATAAAAGGAGAAAAAATTCCCATAGAGAATGAATAGGGAGACATCTTAAAAACAACCAACTTTGGAGCTCTACTGCTGCGTCATACTTCAATGTAGAAAAAGGGTTGGAACATTAAACGGGTCACAAGACTTGAGACTCTTTTGGGTTAAATTGGTATTTTGACAACTATTATGGTTTACACCAAATCGCAGTTTACTTTTTGTGTCATTTTTAGACCATTTTAGACTTTCTAATGGGTGTGTATTGCACGGAATGTTCAGAGTTAGAGTGGATGACATCATCGCTAGAGTGGGAGAGGCTCTAGAACTCCTCTGAAAAAAAATTCTATTTAACTCGTCTCCACACACACACACACACACAAAACAATATTAACATGTCACCTGTTCTGACAGAAGTAAGCCTGGATCGTACCTTGAAATGGTGCGCAGTATTGCTGTCCGTGTACTTGGGTACATGTAGGAAGATGAGCAGGTTCTGCCTCAGGTAGTGAGCCACAGCAGGCAGCCAGGGAAGACAGTACTGGGGAAGGCTGAAGTTCATCACCTCAGTGGCTGGAGATCCTGATGGCTGGATGAACTGAACACACAACATTTGGTGAAGGTTTTAAACAAAAGCAATTTCAAGTAGTGCATACAAGTAAGAAAAAACATAACTGGTAGTGTAAGGTAGTGTACACAGGTCCATGTACACAGAACCACCAACCCCAAGAAAACAAAGAAAGTAATTAAAAGTCCCCTCCCTTGAATTTACCTCCACATCAGCTGGTGTCAGCTTGCAGTTCCTGACAAGCATGACAGTGATGATGTCCAACGTTGTCTCATCCAGGCGCTTCCTCAGAACCTTAACCAGCTCATCTGTGATCTCTGGACCTGAACACAACATATCCCTGTATCACCCTCAAGCTGCAAACACACAAACCTTCACATTCAACAATGTGACTGAATCTAGTGGGTTTACTGCCTCAGTATAAACAAAGCAAGGTGTATAGTATCTGATCGCATGACAACAGGTGGACTTGATTCAAAGTTAAGAGTTAAGATTTTTTCAGACTTTTGACTCTGGTTTCTTATGTCACAAACTTTCAAGTTCAAGTTTGTGATGATTTCATTGAATGTGGACATTTGCTCACTACATTCAATGACACTCTGTAGGACAGACGCAGAAACAGGATGTGAGCAGCACAGGTGTGATTAACCATCAGGACAGTTTTTAATTATTTCTAGAAATTGATGTAAAAAATTAACTCATAGTCCACTTCATAGAGCTTTCAACTGCATCTCATGGGCTTCCTCAGCAGTATATCAAAATAACTCAGGTGTCATTACATGACCTAAATGTGTTGAGTATTTGAACTGAATAGACCATCCACTGAGATGGATAATGAGATGTGATTGAAAGCTCTGGGAAAAAGCTGCTTCGCTTAATGAATGAATGTTCATGCTAAACTATGAAAAAACATTTTTAATAAATCCTGCTCACCACTGTGCTGCACAGTGATAATTGTTTATACAGATGATGTATTGATGCTTCAGAGGTTTATGATATTAAGTGGTGTGTATACTTCAGTTTTTTCTTCTGTGACTAAAGAGATCTTGTGGTACTTTATGAAAACACACAAATACACAGAGGCTGTCAGTGATCTTTAAAACTAAAGATGGCTAGTTCAAATACAGTGAGTGGATCTCAGAGATCACTGATGTAATGGCAGCCTATATTCCCAGCACAACAACGCCATCAAGACATCACATGAGGAACAGCATCCTGCTGTGGCCTCTTTTTTATTAAAACCCAGATATGAGTTTATTCCAGGCTGAGGTCTGGATATGGACACAGGGTAGAACTTACTGACCCATGTGTTCATAGCTGCTGCACCATGAGGTCACAGGTTCAGTAAATGTTCTGTTCTTTATTCTTGACACCTCTGACATCCTGCTACTAGCAACAGTGATAATATTAGCCTGTCAGTGATTGACAGTTTTCATGGTAAAGACACAAGGCTAGCTGTGATTGAAGTGAATGCACACAGACTTGTTCTGTATAGAGGAAGCAGCCTCACCTCTGCAGGATTGTGATGAAAGACCATTGACCTTCACAAGACACTTCTGAATAATTAGCCTGTCTGATCCTATTGACTGTGAAGCCTTTACTCTGCTGTGTTATTGCCTTTATGGCCCAGGCATTGTGTTTACACCCGGTCTTATTCCAAACATAACTACACCCATGCTATACAATTGCTATCGGTTGTATAATTAGTATAATTCATGAACATAAAGCTTATTGAATGGCCTGAATGATCTGGAGAGCGAGTCACACAGTATGAAATCAACTGATAAATAAAGTCTATTCATGGCATTCATTTTGTACTGTATATAATGTAATGCAGGTTGTGAAGCTTTTAATCACACTAGTGCTGTAATACAAGAAAATATATCCATACAGAAGTACAAGGTAGAGCAAATATATCAGCCGATATTAGCTGATGCAGTTACATCAGTATCAGCATATAAATTGGCTGGAAACTAACAAGAACCTACAACATAGAAGTACCAAATATATGTTTGTCTCTATCACATGGTTTGTCCAGACTAATGAAAACTTATTGTTCAGCTGTAAAATGTCCCACTAACTACAAATGCCATTTATAATTCTTTTAAAAACCAAGGTTCTATAAACCATATTTTAACATTAATACAGCAGCAAACAACTATGTAAAGATATAGAGGAGTAATGGCGTTCTGAGCATACGGTTAGCTAAAGGCACTTAGGGATGATTGAGGCAGATTATGCATTAATGACAACAGTTCTCACTCTTCTTCCTCCCTCCTCTACAGCCTCAGAGAGCAGGGACTGAGCAAATTATCACAGATAGAGGGTGACATGTAAACACCACTATGAAATGTTAGTCTGTCAGATAATCACATGTAGAGCTGTTGCCGGCACAGAGGCATAAAAACCTTCAGTAGAACTGACAAACTAAGTACTGAGTCCAATGAAAGGTCTTGTGGACCCTGGTCAGTCTGTTGGCTGCTGCACTGCAGACTGGGTGTTTCCCCACACACATCCAAAATTGCAGGTCTACACACACTTGGGTACTATTTGGGTTCAGCTAGCTTCAGCACTATCTTAGCAACAGACTGATTTCTATCTTGCTCTTTCTTTGCAGCCTGGATTACAGTCACAGTGATCACACCTTCAGACCCTGAAGTGGAAACATGCTGTCATGGAGTGCTCAATTCTGGGCCTACCTCTTCTCAGTCTTTATGTTTCCACTAAATGTGATCATTCCCAGACACAGTAAAGTTTTGTTGCTATGCCAATGACACTTAACTCTGTACAATATAATACACATAATACTATCGAGTCTGGTCTAAAAAATAACCAAAACATGGCTCAAATACTTCAATCTCCTGTGCTGCTTTCAGGTCTCCCAAAAAATCTATAGCTGGAACAAAGAAAATAGCTCTTTTTGCTTCATGGCCCTCCTCCCATCCACTGACTCTTCATTTCCCACAGCTCAAACACAGACCTAAGGTGAAACTGCCTTCAAACTGGAAGCCTGTAAAAAGCTTGGTTTATCTTGTATTTGTTATTTTTACTCCACGACGAGTTTATTTTGAATACCTTTGGCTAATTTTAACGTTGAAATCATTATCAGTCCTTCATGTTTTGCAACTCTTACCTGCATTTCCCACTCCATGCACCAGCAGTAGGATGTGCTTGTCTACTTGTCCAACTGGCCGAGAGCCCTCCAGAGAAGACCTGGACCCCTGAGGACAGATACATCAAAGATGTCAACAATTTGGCACCAGTCCTCTGACATCACTAATCAGGATCCAGAATTATTACACAGACCAAATCTACATACCAAAATTCTACTCTTGCTCTTGTTTATTCACTAATGAACTGTGCAACTTAATTGGAGATTTGAAGAGCACCTGTGTGTACCCATATCCATCCCATCTGCTTAAGTCTCTCTGCCTCTGTCTGTCTGCAGATAACAAAAGTTGTGAAGATTCAGTTCTACAGATGGGGCTATATGTTAGCATGTTTACATAGTATCCCAGTCCCTGACTCCACAAACACAGGATGGTCTGTAAAAATGGTGGGAGTCCATCTCCCTGATAGGATTGATCTGATAGGGATGCAGGTGAAAACACTGCGGTCTCTTGCCTTATTGACGATACATTGTAACTGGCTAAGCAAAGTTTCCTCCTCATCAGATGAGCTGTACAGAGGTACAGGGGTCAGAGTTATAGTCAACAAACTAAGACTCTCTGTAACCTTCCCTGTGAATCCTCTGTGTCTTTGGCCACAGACAACTTCTGAAAAGTTCTAAATAAAAAAACCTGTTTTCTTCAGCAGTGAGGTTCTCATGATTAAACTGATGTTTCATCTGGGTCAAGTTTTCAAGCTACAGGAAACTCAATGTTGTGAATTTGTACCTGGGAAGGTGTAAGTTATGTAAGTTTGTTTTCTTGTCACCAATTGTTTGGGGGGTTGTTGAGTGGATCTATGAAATTATATTCAGGTTATTGATTATTGATACTCTTCATTCAGTCTCTTGCAGCTCTGTAGTGTTTTCAGTTCATCCCGACCTGATGTACACTTCATGGCTGAGGTTCCTCTGTTACTTTTACATAGTGTGCAATGATTGTGTGCTGCCATGGCAACCGACAACATGAGGTGTCTGGAAAATTATGAAAATCCGATTTTTTTGTAGGTATTTAATGTTTTCAGTAACATCACATGTTCACAAATGTTTTCTGTATCTTTGAGACTTTGAGGTCAAAGTGAAAGTCAGGCCTTAAGTCTTTAAGGGACAAGTGGAATTTCAAGTCATCACAGGACAAGTACAAGTCAAGTAAATATACAAATATTTCATCTCAGTCATGTTTCAACTGGGCTGTTTAATTTGAATAGAGTTTTTTCAGTCTTTATTAATCAGACTCAAGTCTCTTCTTTTTTTCTTCAAGTCTCAAGTCAAGTTTTTGTTTGCTTCATTCAAAACTTCACTTATAAACATTATTCTCATTTACGTTACGTTATGTTTTCGGTCAAACTGGCTCCTGTATTTGTACACTCACCGTGAGGTCATCAGAAAACAGCGGCTCCTGACTCCTGAAAAGCCCAATGGAGCGAGTCATGTGAAGGTTTCCATCCACATCAGAGTACTTCCCTGTTAGCGATGTTTCACAAAGTCTGGGAAGTGGAAAGAACACAAGAACACAGTCATGTGCTTATGATTCTTTGGGAACAATGTCATTTTTTGTTCACCCACTGATTATCCTCATCTTTCCTTTCCCTCTTTTCTTCCCCAGTATTTCTATCTATTTCATTTGAAAGCCACTTTCACAAAGGTACAAATGTTTCAGAGACAAAGCTGAACATTCCTGTGCCAAAGAAAAACTGCAGTACTTTACCAGTGAACAACAACTGAAAACAATCTAAACTGATGATATACACAAATAAAAACAATGTGTCCTGTCTGCTCAAAGTAAATGGTCAAACTGTTTCATATGAATGTGTGAGCTGACCCCTCTAAACTACCAATGGGGTGTTTCATGAAGAAACAGGGTTTATTGGAAAAGGTGTTTCCTTTCACCTTAACCAGAACCTAACTGTACTCTGACCCGACCAGTTAGCTGTGCTGTATTTAACTTGAAACTGGTGACAATGCTACATGATTAATTTGTGTTAAATACTCAATAACTTCCTATCTGTTCTCTTCCTCCTGCTCCCCCTCAGGATGAACTGTCCTGACTCTGGTCTTGTTGCTGTAGTGAAATGATTAGTGAACTGTGTAAACACAAACTGTGAGGACACATAAGTGCTCCTTCCAACCTCACACTACCATTACAATGCCATGTTTGACAGCAGTTTCTGGTGGGCTTAAATTCCTTTCCACTAGACTGCTGCCTTAAACACATCTGTGGCAACTGACTGAAGGAAAAATCTCCACATAACTCAGTTACAGATGAGTTGTGTTGCAACAGTCGTCTCAAGCGTGTACAGTGAAAATGCTGAAAACACTTGAGTAAAAATGTGAAGCCCATCCAATGATGAAGTGAACAAACACAGATGAACGGCAATGAGAAAGTCTGACCTGAGGTAGAAGACTGATTTAGTTGTTCTCTCCTGGTAGACAAACATGTTCTTCCTGTTGACCACACAGAAAGAGTTGAGCACTGATCGCAGGGCCTGGATGGCTATGACAGGGAGACAGAGGACACGATGAGAGGTTTAGTATGTTTGTTAAATAAATCTATTGGTTTTCAGAATGTCATCATCACTGTGTTAGAGAGAACGACCACAGCTCTGTTCTAAAGACACAATAAACTGAGAGGTGGTTGATGTGAGTATGTCATGTGAACACAAGTGCTGCTGAGAAATAACTTCCTGCACATTACAACTGTAAAAGCTTTGTTGAGTAGAATTGTTCCCATGTCTCTCGTTAGACCAGTCATCAGCTCACCTGTCCAGATGAAAGACAACATGCATATAATCTCAGCTTTTGTGACACTTAACTTTACAGGTCATTAGTTTCCTCACTTATAAAGGATATGTAAGTGTAATTTCCAATGAAGAACATGGGAAGGACTGTGTTTAGTGCAAAACATGAGGAGAAACTGAGAGAGTATTCAATGAGTAAACTTATAGTTATAGTAGAGTGCAATTTATTTCTTACATAAGCTCAGACTTGCCTCAGCTGATTCAGGTCAGGTGAAAAAGCAACACATGCAACAAGCTAACATGGAGAATATGCTTCTCCATGTAACTGATCAAGAGTGTCTTAACTGGGTGCCACAGTGCTGTGAGTGGAAGTTATGCCTGATTTCATCAAATGACTGTCTTCTCTTTTCACCTACTTTTTAACATGTATTTACTTATTTACTGTATATACAATAATCAAAACAGGACAGGAAATATACTATAATTCTCCTGTAAAATGAAGAACAAGAGCAGATTCACACACAATGACACTTTACAAAGCACATCATTAATAGTAGTTATCACAAGTAGTTCTACAAAGTTCATTCAAAGTATTAATTATGGCTCAAATTTTTCCAAAATACCGACCAGCACAGAAGTAAAGAAATAATCAGAATTTTATATATCATCAAGTTGATTAAAACCTGTCCTTCATTCGCCTAAACAAAAGCATGTTTATTTATCTCAAACTCAGATCTGCCACTCACCTCTGGACACCCCCATGTTGGGTCCCATCTTGAGACGAGGGTGAATGTGGATGATTGTGCTCCACACCACGTCACAGGCAAAATGTCCAGGGATGAACTGCATGGTGGCAGCCAAGTAATCCCTGGCCTGGTAGCTTTCCTCTGTGTTGTAATCTGTGTGGTCAGGGTCAAAGAATCACAAGCATGTGACAGCTGCAGAGAGCAGACATGACATCAAACAAGACATGACAGGATCTGTTCACCCACATACAAACTCTTTCACCTCCACAACCTTGTGTTGGGCTGCAGAAAACAAATCTCAAAAACACATCAAACCAACACTAATCGTTTTCTCCTGACGCACCGTCGGAGGTGTTGAGCCTCTGCCTGTAGTGAGACTCGCTCTTCCAGATGTCTTCCTCACTCTCAGCGACCAGTAGAGAGTTACACACATGGCTGTCATGTAGGTCCTGAAGCAGCATTCGCTACACATACAGAAATACACACAACAGAGAGTGAGCAGCAAGTAAAGGAAGCATTTTAAAAGAAACTACCCACACTGCACAGGACTGTCATCACATATATAGTATGTGTTAGTTGAAATATACATACATATACATCAAATCACAATCTTTTTGCAATCAAATACCTAAAAATTGTTTCTAGAAGTGAAATCTGATGAAAACAAAACCAGAACCACAACTAACAAGTCTGGATGTTCTGATGTTCTGGATGTTCTAGTGTTCTCATGTCCTTGATGTTCTCATGTTCTGGTGTACTGATGTTCTAATGTTCTGATGTTCTGTATGTTCTAGTGTTCTGATGTTCTGGATATTCTAGATGTCCTGGTGTTCTGGATGTTCTGATCTTCTGGTGTTCTGATCTTCGGGATGTTGTGGTGTTCTCATGTTTTGGATGTTCTAGTGTTCTGATGTTCTCGATGTTCTGCTGTTCTGATCTTCTGCATCTTCTGGATGTCCTAGTGTTCTGGATGTCCTAGTGTTGACTGACACTGACTTGTTTCTATAACATAAATATAAAGATCAGTGATGTACGTGTATTCACCTGATTGACTACCCTGCAGATCTCTCCGATCTTCCTGACAACCATCTGATGTAGCTGTAAGTATTCAGGCAGCTCCTGCTCCTCCTCCTTCTTCTTCAGCTCCTCAGCACTGCCCTCCTTTCCTTCTGTGAAGCCCCTTGGATAAAAGAATATGACACAAGCTATGAAATGAACAGATCCAGGCACAGACGCAATCAAATACTGACTCTGACTTTGTTATTCTCTTTAGCAAGAAGACATTTTCCCATCATGGTAAATGACATCCTCATTTTAAACTGAAGTGAATGCTGAGGCCTGATAGTTCGTCACAGCAGCTGGGTACAGGAACTTTCTGGGAAACATGATACAACTCTTTTACTTCTAAACCTAAAGCAACAACTGAAACTGATAGATGAGTTAGAAATGACTTAGAAATGATTTATGAATATGAGCCAAAGACTCCAGGCTTCTCCTGAGGTTTGTCTGACCTGGAGTGGGAGTAGACCTTCACCCGGTCCTGGTGGATCTTAACAATCAGCCAGAAGTCTGGCATCAGTGGTGACTGACACTCCTGCTCATCCAGGGTGGGACTCTCACACTCAGAGTCACTGCTGCCGCCATCATAACCTTCAAACACACAGTGGAAGAACACTTTATATCATCTTCATCCTTAAAGTCAGGCTCCACCGCTGGTTGGTCATACATACACACAATTGAATTTCACATATAGATGAACCGCCGATTGCTCCGTGTACATTCATATACATTATGTAATAATGATAACAAGCAGTGTCAGTGTTAAAAAAAACAATCATTGTGTCTGGAGCTTCATCTCTATACTACTGTGGAAGTGATGGAGGACACTATGCTGATATACTGTCAAACAAACGAAAACCACTTCTCATTATTCTCCCCCCTAAACCTCAGCAGGGTGCAGAGGCTAGAACTTGTGGTTCCTTTGGCTGAGTTCATTGATTCACTGGAGCTTCTTCTACCAGCCAGGCACTTTATTCTAATACTGTGGGTTTCCTATGAACTAAATGTATGTCTGATATGTTTGGTTGTTTATTGAACTTTGAGCTTTTCATGGGGAATTAAATAAAATAACTATAAAAATTAATAACTATAAAAAAATATAAGAACAAATATGTATGTGTATTATATATATATATATATATATATATATATATATATATATATATATATATATTATCCTCCTATTACTGTGCATTTCCATTTCTGCTTTGTGTTTGGTTCTGTAACCTACACTGACTGATCCTGTCTGACAGTGTCTGATCCTGACTGACCCTGACTGATCCTGTCTGACACACACTGATCCCGTCTGATCCTGACTGACACTGACTGACCCTGACTTGATATTAACTGATCCTGGCTGACCCTGACTGATACTGATTGATCCTGACTGACTTATACTGACTGACCCAGACTGATACTGACTTATGCTGACTGACTCTGACTGATAATGACTGATCCTGCCTGATACTGAACTGATCCTGTCTGACACTGACTGATCCCGTCTGATCCTAACTGATCCTGACTGACACTGACTGACCCTGACTGATACTAACTGATCCTTACTGACCCTGACTGATACTGATTGGCCCTGACAGATCCTGACTGATCCTGACTGACACTGACTTATACTGACTGACCCAGACTGATACTGACTTATACTGACTGATCCTGACTGACACTGATGACCCTGATACTGATTGATCCTGTCTGATCCTGACTGATATTGAACTGATCCTGACTGATACTGAGCTACCAAATAACCTTAACAACTCATCATCTGACATCAGACTCAGCTCTTCTTTTGTCTGTTGATGGTGTATAACAATGTCTGTTATTTCACTTTCACTGTTTAAATCATTACAGGTAATTGACATTCAGACAGTGAATGGAGAGGCAGTGAAACTACTGAGTGCAGTCAGAGAAGAATGATGCATTACAGGAGAGCTGAGGCAGAGACAGATGGTGTTTCTAAAAGACCAGGTGGACAGAGGAGAAAAGTCACAACAGTGTATATTTTGGCTGACTTAACATCTTTCTGTCGTATATAGAAAATGTAAGGATGTGAATTATCCACCAGATGGTGCTATTTATCAGGGTGACTAACTTCATAATGGACCGTATACTGAAGGTGCTGTGGTCAGTAAAATGATTTCTGACACATACACAATATTCAGATTTACAGTCGTACCATCCGAAATCCTCAGCTAGAGGAAACAACGACCAGGTGACAGCCACCTGGTGATGTGATCTTACACTGGGACAGAAATGGCAACAGGGTTTTTTGAATGTGGAGTAAACCTGTGTTTAAAGGGAGCTTTGATTTTTTTGTAAACCTAACAAGTTGGTGACAATGACCAATGACCACCTCACTCCTCAGACACTGATGTTGCTGTCAACCATCACTCAGCTTACCCTGCATGTCTGAGTCCAGACTGCCCTGGCTGGACACGACGCTCTGGACTCGACTTGGCCTGAGTTTGCCGCAGCCTGAGGAGAGACAAAAAGACATGTCTGTCAGGAAATTCAGTGTCCGCACAGATCTCTGCCACATCACAGCCTCTGTCCCTGTTGAGAAGATAACACCAGACAGTAATCAGCTCATGTAAATCTGTCAGTGATAGATGTGATGTTGGGAAGGAGGAAACAGCAGGGAGCAGAAATGTAATAAAGAGGCTCCACCTGGTCTGGTAGCTGTGTTAGTGTCTACTGTCATTTACCACTCACACTTCTTCTCTTTTAATAGACAGTTGCAGAAATCTCCTCTGCAGTTTATCAGAGGCCAAACTGATGATTCAGTGCACAGCAATATAAAACAAAGAGAAGCAGCAAATCTTCTTGTTTCAGAATATTAATCACTTCTCAAAATTGTTGTTGATTTTTTATTTCTTTGTGCAATTAAGTGATTTGTAATTGATCATTTCAGCACATGAAAGTGCCCACAGACGTTGTAGACATGAAAATATGTGACAGGTATGAAAACACACTTATCTACTTGCTGTCACCGAGGCGTTATAGTGAGACATGAGCAGAGTGATACCTGACTCTGGAAAAGTGTTATGGTCATACTTGTAATGATGATTACTGTTAGACAGATATAATAATCCAGTGCAGGGCTTAGAGCACCTATGATCATTCATGCAGATAAATACCTCACTAATACAGATGAGGTTTTAACACAGATGTAGAGGTCTCTGAACCACAGGTGATAACTGTGTCCGTCGGACTCACTGTGAGAGGCGGACTGCACGGACTCAGCCAGGCTGACACTGGATGGTGTTTTGGGGGGTGACGTGGGCTCTATGCAGGAGTCAGTCTGGAGCTGGGTGGTACTGGGCTGACCTCGGTCCGCTGCCATGCTAACTGAGCTCTGATAAACAATATTGTCAGGCTCAGGCTTCAGGGCTCTGATTGGCTCACTGGCATCTGCAGTTGTGTCACTGGGAGCGTCAGCAGCAGCACTGATGGACCTCTTGTCTTGACTCTGCAGTGGGACACAGGTACAGAAGAGGATATGACAGGACTGGACACAGTGGTGGGTTAGCTTTTCAACACAGTGAGGAATGTTTAACTGCTCTCACATCACAAAACAAACACACACACAAGGATCAAGAAGAATAAATGTGATAAATAATCTTTTCGTAAGAGAGGATTTTACTGTTATTTTCTGTGCTGCCAAATATTGTGATTAGGATTATATCACACTGCAGCTGCAAATGTCTCATCTTCTGGAGCTCATATCACAGATCCACTGTTTTCCACTCTCATCTAACTCTACTAACAAGGGACACCATATCATACTGTAAAAACCACAGATTTAATGACAAAGGTTTAACTGTCATCATGTCACTTAATTGATCAGAAGAATCTATTGATTATCAATCACATCACATGTTCTTTTCAATGCATTTTTTAACAAGAGCCGTTTTATTAAAGTAATTTTCAAACACATGGCAGGAGTGCTACAGGGGTCTCACCTGCTTTAGCATCATATGTATTTTAATAACTGATGTGACAGGAGTCATTCCATCTCTCTTGTGTTAAAGAACAGAGACATGCAGAGGGAAATGTCTCAGTAAGTCAGTCAGGTGGAGACCCTGTCCTGAGATCTAGTTTTGTTGTTTCTAACATCTGATCCCAGACTGTCATGTCTCACTCTGCCATGAGGATCATTAGATACTTCACAGAAAATTGCACTAAATAATAAAAATGATTGTTTGTTGTTGTTACTCTGCACATCACAGCGAAACGACATGTCACACCTCACTGTCTCCCTCTGCTGCCTGAGCCTCTGCTTCACTCTCCAGCATCACGTGCTCCACCTGTGCTGCAGTGCTGCAGGGGTTGGTGTGTAGTGGGGGGTCTGCGGTGCTCTCAGAAAGCCTCTTGGCTGCGTGGATCCTCTGTGGGTGGAGTCTGCTCAGGGACATGTAGTAGAAACTGTCCTGTTGCCCATTCAGGACATAGCCAGAGAATGAGATTCTGCGGAATTCCTGCAAGATCAGACGTGATCTGGTCAGGATAATTATAATGAAGTGCATCAGTGTTGGATTATTGTGCATTTTCAAAACAGGTTAGTCCTCAGTGACAGCTGGGTGAAAACATATTAAGTTGTACTGTAGTGGCTCATTTTTTATTTAAAGTAAACACAAGAAACTTGTGCTACAGAAAATGGACCAGACTCAGTGAATAGCTCCCTAAGCTTAATATCCTAAATCCTATGATAACTATTAATTTAGCTATACAGACTAATGAGCAGTGATAACTAACATGTCTTTGGGGTCATCAGGTGGGAACCTCCTTTCACCAGTGTTTCGTCTAGTTGGTCCCACGACACCTCCAGGAGGCTAGACAGTGATCACTGGCGTCCCAGAGTCACTCCCCTAATGCCAGCCATCACTGCTCCTCACACCACAACTATTTTCTCCTTTATCTTGCCTATGCTACCACAAACAACACTCAACTAGGACAAAACACACTAGCAGATTCAGCAAACAAAAACTCCCCTAAACAGTTCTGTTCTGTTGTACTAGATGTTTTTTTTTTTTTCCCAGAAAGTGGCGGCCAATTTGAATGAGGGAGGTAGAGTCAGGGAGAGATGCCTTGTTGGGCTAAACTCTCTCCCCCGCCAGACTAGGCTGTGCTCTACTTCCCCCTACTCCCCCACTCTCCAAGACAATACAACTCACCATACAACTCACCTAAAACAAACAAACTCACCTAAACAGTCAAAGACACACTAAAAACCAATTCAAAACAATACAAACAAACAATACAGGCCAACTCACCTGGACTAACCGCATGGTCTCAAAGAGGCTCACACAGGCCACACCCCCCACTTAAAAACACTTCCTCTTCATGGATTTCTTCCTTGCTTCTCTTAAGAGTCTGTCTATCCTAAGTGCTCCCCCTGCTGGCCCCCCAGCTACCATTATTTCTTCTCATCCAAATTCACTGACTTGATCTTACTGCCTCATCTGACATGTCCTTTACTATTTTCCTCACACTCTGTCCACTTCCTCCTAACTCCCTCACCAAAGAGACAACAGACCTTGCTACAAATCCTCTACATCCTATTTCCACTGGACAAATCCTAACTTTCCATCGTCGCTGCTCTGCTTCTGCCCCTAACTCTACATACCTAAGCTTTTTCCTTTCATATGCTTCTACAAACTGAGAAGCTTTCCCACGGAACAGTCAGCTCTATGAAATATACTCTCATTCTACTCCTAGACCACAAGACTATGTCAGGCCTTAGCTTTGTACTGGCTATTTCCTGGGGAACAACAAGCTTTCCCTCCTAAATCTACCTGCATTTCCCAATCACAAGCATCCTCTAAGCTGCCTTGCCTCCTTGATGTCTTACCAACTTTCTCTCCCTCTTGAACAAACTTGATTGCAACTCTCTTTATCTTAGGCCCTCCTAAATTTGCCTGCCTCCGTAAATCTTCAATTCCTGCAGCTAAGCTTTTAAAACTTGGTTATGTCGCCACGTATACCGGCCTTGCGACAGACTAACCTTAACAGCCTGACAAAATGTGCTTTAAAGTTGCAGTACCTGAACACAATGAACATAGCGGGTCTTCATTTACCCAGAGTTTTAGGTTCTGGGGAGTTGGCAATACATCATATGTTGCCCCTATCAAAAATCTGAATACTACTTTCCTCCATACTCCACAGCTCTTTCCAGCTAAGCTTTTTCTTGTCTACACCTTCCCAATTCAAACCACTGTCCTGTTAGCCTGGGCCACTGCCTTTGCACCCCTTAATATTTCCTCCTGTCTACGAACCTGCTCCACAACTAGCTTTCTCTTCTCTTTGGGACCTGCTCTACTCCACACCGGTTTGCCTGGGCCAGAGCCAAGCCTCCCCGGCCTATTTGGACATTACCCACAATCTCTGTATGCCTGAGCGTTGCTTCCGCCTCCTGCACTGCCATTCTTGGATTCCATTTTCTCCCCTTGATTGGGTTTTGAAACCACCTTACTAACTACCACATCTTTACTCCCAGATAACAGGAGCTCTGTCCAACCTTAATACATTTAAACTCCTCCACTAGACTAGTTACTGGGGAGCTGAAGTATGCCTTTCCCATACAGTGCCACCGTACTTAAACATCTAGGAACACCTAGCCACTTCCTAATGTAAAAGCTACTAATCTTTCCATTTTTTCTGCAGCAGATAATGGAATCTCATATACAGACAGTGGCCACATCAACCTGGGAAATTAACCCGTACTGTAGACACCACAAACTTTCAACTTTCCTGGAAGCCCTGATTTATCTATTCTATCCAGTCCCTCAGCAACATCTTTCCGAAACTGCACAACCTGTTATCCGTCACTCAAGTCTGCCTTGTACCACCTACCTAGACTCTTTACTGGAATTTCCTCTTCCTCTATTACAAACTTCCTATCACTTAACTTCCCTCTACTTGTTGAGATACTTCTAGACTTACTAGGCTTGATTTTCATACTAGCCCACTTTAAGTTTTTATTAAGTCTCTCAAGTACTCTTTTCATACATGGCACCGTTGTAGTTATCAACGTCATGTCATCCATGTAGGCCCTAATTGGTGTAAGGCGCATCCCATCCTGCCGCCTCTCTCCACCTACAACCCACTTAGAAGCCCTAATGATTACCTCCATCGCCATTGTGAATGCCAATGGAGAAATCGTGCACCCTGCCATAATGCTTATTTCTAGCCTCTGCCACCCTGTTGTACTTAAGCATAGTCTAATATCTTGGAAATACGACCTTACTAAATTAACCACTACTCCAGGCACTCTAAAATAATCAAATGCCTCCCAAATAAGGCTATGTGGCACTGAACCAAACGCATTTGCTAAATCCAAAAATATGACATGCAAGTCTCTTTTCTCTGTCTTGGCTGCCTGAATCTGATGCCAAATCATGCTAGTGTGCTCTAAACACCCTGCGAAACCTGGTATTCCTGCCTTCTGTACTGCAGTATCTATTAAGCTATTCCTTTCTAAATAACTAGCTAATCTCCGTGCGACTATGCTAAAGAAGATCTTCCCCTCCACATTTAGGAGAGAGATCATTCGAAACTGACTCAGGTCTGAGGATTCCTTCTCCTTTGGAATAAAAACACCTCCTGCCCTACGCCATGCTCTGGGAATAACCTGTTTCTCCCAAACTATTCTTAATTGCCTCCACAAAAACTTTAGGATATCAGGTGCGCTTTTATAAACCCGGTAGGGGACTCCATTTGGCCCTGGGGCCGAAGAAGCCTTTGCACGCCTGACTACCTCCTCAACCTCCTTCCACCTGGGTGGTCTAACATCCATCTCATGATCTATCTTTCCTAATGGTGGCATGTCAGGTGGAAGGCCTACTACTCTATTCTGCTCAAAATCTGAATACGTGTTTCTTAGATACTTTTCCACTTCTAACTTTGTTGCCTTAAGCTGCCCTCCCTTTTCCTGGTTAAACAATCCTTTAACAAACTTGAAGGGGTCCCTGTAAAACGCTGTCCTTACATATTCTTTCTTCTTTCTCTTTTTCCTAAGATATTCAGCCCTTCTAAGTACTGCTAGCCTGCCTTTCAAATCTTCTTGCAACACATTAATCCCCCCCCCTTCCTCTGTAGCCCTTTTCCACTGCTTTCTTAATTGTCTTCTTTCCTTAACTAATTTCTCCATTTCCCTTTGCCGTCTAGACTTAACTAACTTTACTCTTTCAACCCTCTTTCTGTCTTGCACCCCAAATCTTTCTGTACCATAGGAGTAAATTATATCTCCCATCTTCTCTAGTCTATCGCTTGCATTTCCTCCTAGTCTTTTTAAGATTACTGACAAATCTCTATTGACTGACTCCCATTCTTTCTTGCTATTTGCCCTTGGTCATTTAACTCTAGTTTTCTGCTCCATATTTCTCTCTCTGACTGGCCTGTTCACCTCAATATCAGCTGCATCCCCTCTTGTAGTCTCCTACTCCCCCTCTGTAGCTGTGTTATTGATATCCTTCGAACTGTGGTTTTCTACCTGTCGCTAGACTTCATCCGACATATTTGATTGACTTCTTAAAAAGTATCGATCGATGCGGCCACACTGCCTTTCCTTTGCAACACATCTCTTTCTTCCCTGATGCATTCTAAGGCCTCTAACTGACGTTACTTTCTGCCAGCCACAAGGACAAATCTGGAGCTCATTTCCCTCTAGCCTAACATTTTTATTCTCTCCAGCTACCACACAGTAAGCCAAAGACTGCCTCAACAATCTCTTTCATTCTCTGTCAATAAATTTCAACACTTCCTGCAGATGTTTCACAGTAAAAGTCTATCAGGAATGCAACCTCGACCTTTTAAAACAAGCTGTTTGGTTCAGAATGGAAGAATATGTATTTATATTCATATTTATTGAGATTAAAGTCTTTTATAATAAATCATACATCATACATCATACAAAACCATGTCCCCAAAACCCTGTACCAAACTGCAGATTATCATGTTCTTTAAGCATCTGGAAGGCTTTTAATGTGGAAATCTGTGCAGGAAATATTGACAACTTCACACTGATAGAAACAAGACCAGTCTGGTCTGGACCGTGTATGGTAAATGTGTGAAATTGAAGAATAGTTGAAAACTGTTGAGGAAGCACTGTAAACTACTGACTTCTTTGTGCTGTGTTATCATTCAGTCTAGTGTCAACTGGTGTTATCTGATATCACCTGGTTTCAGTCTAGTGCCAGCTGGTTTCAGTTTAGTGTCAGCTGGTTTCAGTCTAGTATCAGTGGGTTTCAGCCTAGTGTCAGCTTGTTTCAGTCTAGTATCAGTGGGTTTCAGCCTAGTGTCAGCTTGTTTCAGCCTAGTGTCAGCTTGTTTCAGCCTAGTGTCAGCTGGTTTCAGTCTAGTGTCAGCTGGTTTCATTCTAGTATCAGCTAGTTTCAGTCTACGATCAGCTGGTTTCAGTCTAGTGTTAGCTGGTTTCAGTCTAGTATCAGTTGGTTTCAGCCTAGTGTCAGCTAAAGTTTAACTGACTTGGTGTTATACTGTGATGATTAAGTGTTCCCTATAAAACCTTTGAGTATAGTGTAGTTAATATGAATTGGGGAAATTAGAAATAAAGGCCTGATCCAAATGCTGTTTGATGATTTAAAGCCATAAATATAATTGAAAGTATGGATAAGAACCGACTGAGTGTGTGTGTGTGTGTGTGTGTGTGTGTGTGTGCGTGCGTGTGTGTGCGTGCGTGCGTGCGTGTCCTTGCCTCTTTAAATTTCTCCAGAGACTGGTCTGGCCCGAAGACAAACTGCAGTGGGACATCTTCACAGTGACAGTGCAGTCGACCACTGGAGCGTAAAACATGCTCTGCTACTTTCTGCAGTGTGGCCGAGCTGATGACCCGAGAGTGACGCAGAGCAGATACGATCTCATCCTCCAGCAGCCAGCGGATCTACAACACACACATACACACTTATCACTGCTGTGTGTCGACAGTAACAGCATAAATACTGATGTGAAGAGTAAGCCAACTCCTCCCAATATCAACAGCACTAAAAGACTTAATCATCATCATCCTGCTGCCCCAAATACTCACTACAGCGCCAAATGTGGTTTCATCTGCCTCTGAAAATAGTCTGCCTCTGAAATATAGTTTGAGCTTGTAAGCATCCACAGTGGGAGAATGTTACTGTGAAGTGTTAAAGGTAGAATTCATCACTCTTTTCAATAAAAAACGTAAACTCAACATGACGTGTTCTTATTTGTACTTATGAAGTATGTGAAGGCCCAGACTGACAAGGAGTACATGATATATTGTGTCTCCTCTGAAGTTGTATTTCTTATTTGTTGTGTTGCCGTTTTGTTAGCTCACACTGACAGACTCACCTCATCCATCGTGGCCAGGATCGCTAACTTGTGAGGAGCTGGGAGTTTGGATAAAGGATCACCAGAGACCCTGATGGAAGAAAAACAACCTCTGTTGTTGACAGAATCAAAGTCAATAAGAGAAAGCAGAGCAGAGTTTCATCCTGTAGAACAAACTCACCCATTAACACCAGCTCCCCTCAGACTGTCCAACACAGCCATCAGCTCCTCATCAGAGCGGTAGGACGATGGCTGTCCCGGTGAGCGGTTCAGGGACACACTGCTCTCTGAGGTGTACCTGCACACAAACAGGAGCTCTGACGTGACACTGACACTTCATGCTTCATAACTGACACTTATTCTAAGGAGAAGATTTACAGTATTAGAACTGGGTGACATGACTTCAAATCAATGTCATGATTATTTCAAACTCTCATGATCACTTAGGTCATACATGTCAAACTCAAGGACCGTAAAATTGTATCTGGACCACAAGTTCATATGTGTATCAGAACTTCCCTGCTGGTATATAGCACTCACACCACTGATACTACAAATCCCAGATTGCACTGCAATAGCTGGCATGTTGGCACAGCAATCAAGGCCTGCAAGCGCTTAGCTCCCCGTCCCCCTCTTTATTGACATACTCATCCAGTCACTTCGAGTCAAATTTAAGCTCGCCCCCAAAAGAAATGGCCAAACGAAGGTGGACTCTAACAAAAGGGGCTTTCAAGACAGGTGGGAAGCAGAGTATCTGTTCACTAACATAAAAGGTAAACCTGTTTGTCTTGTGTGCGGAGATCATGTGGCCGTAATTAATGAATATAACATAAGACGACACTATAAAACCAAACATCATGACAAGTACAAGGATCTGGACATACAGCAGAAGCTCCAGAAGGTAGAAGAGTTGAAAAGAAGTCTGGTGTCACAGCAGATTATGTTCACATAAAACATGTTGTCGTAATACATGAAAAACATGGTCAATTTAAGTGTGTTTTTCAATAAATATTGACGCTGTTTGGCCCTCAACTAGGACCCAGCTCTTAATTTTGGCCCCCTCTGTGATTGAATTTAACACCCCAGACTTAGGTGCTCATCTCTCCCTCTCTTTTTTTGAGCCATGCTCTATTCATATTCAGCAGTGTGATTGTGTCCAAGTGATTTAATAAACTGGTGGTGTTACCTTTGGTCAGTGAGATTGTTTTGTGCTGTGTCTACATTTGACTTGACTTTGACTTTGAGTGAACATGGACTAACGTTAGTTGAACGGGGCAGAGTCAGGTGACTGAACATGAGGTAGTATTTTTAAGGGGACAGTTCATGAACGCAGCATTAGAGAAAGTTTTAACTGAATGAAACGACATGAGCAAGATGAAGTTGGTGAGAGGTTCTACACGTCAGAATTCCGTTAATTACCCACCTCTACTTGTATCATCATCTCACATCAAAAGACAACTAGGTCTGAGGAGTACATCCATCAAACTCTTAGAACCAAAGCTGAAATCTTCAGTTTATTCTGCCATACAGTAATAATAATAACGTTATTTACCTAGCACCTTTAAAAACACAGTTTACAAAGTGCTTTGACCAACAAATCAAAAGCAATGATGGTCAAAAGCAGGGCCGAAATAAGGTAGAGTTACAGAGGGAGGACAAACAACATGATTTAATATAAGTAAGGACAATTAGAGGGAGCAGATACCGTACAGAAACACACACACGCAAAAACAGTAAAACCGATAAAATGGCATTATGGAGATGATAGATAATAAGACGATATAAAGACAGTAAAACAACAACTACTCACATTGGAGTAGAATTACTAACATTTCTGACCGAAACAATTAAACAATGAACAAAGAATATTATTTTTCTGTTGATAGACTGATGGATTAATATTCCACTGATTGATACCAATAAACAATGATCTGATAAATTCGATGAAGAAGAAGAAGACTGGACGTTAACAATACAGGTTCATAAATATTAAACAAATGATCTGTTCCAGTGTTTCAGGTTCTGTAATAAAGGAAATGCATTCAGCACATTTGTTAACTTTAATGATGAGAATCACTTTCATGCTGTGATCTGATCACAGGCTTCTGAATCAATATTAAAAACTAGAATTCACACGTCTATAATCCTCTCTCCTTATGTTGTGACTCACCTGTTGTGATGGAAATCCGCCATGACTTCAATCTCCAGAGGTAGTGTCAGGACAAAAATATCTAAAGTGACTGAGAACTCATTCAAATCCACAGACTGCAGGGCCTCAGCATTCTCCAGACAGGATATGATCTCCCCTGCAATTACACACCTGGAGTGAGAACTGCAACAACAATGTCTCAACTTTTCAATGAAATAATACAGAATCAAGATGCAGCTGAGAAAACAGTTGCTGTTATGATGAATGAATCAAGACTATCACTTTTGAATAGTGTAAAAAATGAAGGCCTTTTAAATAGAGAAGGGACCCAGAGATCAACCAGCAATCAAATGTGATTTAACAAGGTGTGTAACCAGGGCTGTACTCACCGAGGCAGGTAGGCAGAGTCTGTATGGGCATAGAGCCGTGGCAGCTTTTCATATTGACCGAACATGTGACATGAACAAACAGCGGAGGCATGTCCAGCTGTTGCCCCTCAGGGTCCAGCAGGGAGTCTCCCTCCAGGATGCTGAAGGAGTCCTGATCCTGGTTGACAGTGTTAGAGTCTGACAGGGACTGGTCTTCACCCTCTCCATGGGAGCTGGGGCCTGCATACTCCTCATACTCCACCACCAAGTCTGTGTCGCTCTCCGTCATGACACAGCAACCTGACATATGTTCTACAAACACACACACACACACACACACACACACACACACACACACTTTATTTTTATGTGGCACAGAAAAATCATGTCACAATGAAAAACAATTCATTCAGTTATTAAAAAACAGACTATATTATTTCAATTTAACAAATGTTCGTAAATGTATCCATATAAAGCAAATACAAATAATCACTATATTTGATTCTGTGTTTGATTGGTTTTAATTTACAGCTCATTCGGGAAGTCTTCAGACCCTTCACTGTTTTCATGCTAACATCATTTAAACTCATTTTCCCCTCATCAGTCTTCACTCAGTCCACAATGACAAAGTGAAAACAGGATTTTAGAAATATTTTTCCAAATGTATTAAAAAATTTAAAACTGAAATATCACATTGACATAAGTATTCACACATTTTATTATGACTGTAAATTTAGCTCAGGTTCCACCATTTTTCTAGATCATCTCTGAGATGTTTCTACACCTTGACTGGAGTTGACCTGTGGTAAACTCAGCTGATTGGACTCACACCTGTTTATATGATGAGGGAAAAAGTGAATTGTAATGATTTGAATGATGCTCACCGTCCTCTGTGGCCGGCTCAGCTTCTGACACCAGCTCCTCACTGGGTCTTCTTTCTATCTCATCGTCCTCCGAGTCCTCCTGTGGAGACAAGCCACAAGTCAAAGGTTAATCCAGGCCAATCAACAGCAGCACTTATGTGGGCTGTGAGAGTGGCTTCACCCTCCATCCAATAGCTGATGTGATTCTAATTAGTCTTTACCCTCAGACATAATTCATTCATCTTTGAGGTTTGAGAATGAGCCAAGCCAATGTTGACCATCTCTGACTCAACTTCATCATGAGTAATAATGAGAATTATGAGCACAGCAAAGTCAGTCTGGATAAAAGCAGTTTGTCATCTTACCTCTCTCTTGGATGACGGGGGGCAGTAGAAGAAGTAGTGTGGGTTGGAGGGCACCGTTTTGAAATAGTGAGACACGATCTCCATGAATTTATCCTGTGAAATGATTCACTTAAATGTCAGTTTCATATGGTGGAAATTAAATCATGTACTCACTAATGACTGAGTCTATAATGAAATCACAATGTGACATTAAGATGGTGAAGGACTGCAGACGGTACCTGTATGATTCTGTGCAGGTCTGGATACACTTCACACTTGGGCTGTGTCTGGAGCAGAGTCAGAGGGAACTCTGGGATCTTGGCTGTCCTGGATTCATCCAGGGTCAGAGGAGATGTGGGAGCAGAGGACTTCCCTCTAGACTCAGCTTCACTGGAATCCTCCATGTCAATACTACTGCCACAAATATCACAACATAAATAATTGTGTTAGCTCTCTGAAACTGAGAAATGATGTGCTGTAGACTTCAGTAAATTCACAGCCTTCACTGTGATGTTAGTCCTTGTGTGGAGAGAAATCAGCCATCAGACTGAGACTGCCATCAAAATGCTGCCATGTTGTAAACAAAAAACTGATCTTATCAGACTGTTTAGTTGCCAGCCTGTTCTGTTGGCTGCTAAGCAGGGTGGGTACAGTGAGTGTTCATCACCATGTGTGACCCCTGGCATATCACACATGGTCATTTCACCCATTGCTCACATAAACATATTGGTCATTGCAGCTTTAAAGCTTAAGGATAATTCTATTAATTGAGTCAAAAGCAACACACATCACTGATGTTTTATTTATCAGAAACAAATACCTGTCAACCATCAAGGTATATTTAGATGATTTTACATCACATAAAGTCAAAATCAGTCAGTTCATTGTGTGCATTCCTATGCAAATCTGAATATGTTAGAGTAGTCCACATTCACAAAATATTCACAGCTTTCATTTTATTAGAGATACTTGACAAATGAGGGATCATAATCTTTTCTGTCATTAAAACTTAACAGCTTTGGTGGAAAGTCAGTGAAGCTTGGATTTGGATTTGGTTGAACTGGTCTGAAACCAGCTCTTCAGGTAGCTGCTGATAAGAGCTGCTCAATGTTCAGATAGATAGATAGATAGACACTTTAATTATCCCTTAGGGGAAATTCATGTATCCATTAGCTCATTGTTGATATTGATAATAATAATAATAATAATAATAATAATAATAATAATAATAATAATAACAAAAACAGTTTATGATCTGATCTGCCAAGTGGTGGTAGAGCTGATACATAGTACGGTCTAAGACCAAGTGCCAACAGTTCAATACTTTTCCATCTGATGCCAATTGCTCTGTCACTTTTGTATTGTTTTTATTTTTATATTTCATTTTTATTGTTGTTAATTAATTAATTAATTCTTAATGTGTTTTAATCTCAATTTGTGTAACTGTGTACGGTGTCCTTGAGTGCCAAGAAAGGCGCCTTTAAATAAAATGTATTATTATCATTATTATTAATATCCCGACAGCAGATCTTCTCCTTCACTGTGATGTGACCGGGGTTGAACCATCTATTGTTCACAAGCAGAACCAGTCCTCCACCTGTATTATTCCCACTTGCTCTGGCGTCTCTCACCACTCGTACTATAGTGAAGCTGGGTAAATCCACACAACAGTCAGGAGTGTTGTCATTTAACCAGGTCTCCGTGAAACACAAGACTACACTCACGATATGCTCACTGGTTCTTCACTAGTGCCTCCAGTTCATCACACTTGTTAGCCAGGGAGTTGACATTTCCCATGAGGATCGATGGTAGAAAAGGCTTATATCTCCATCTTCCTAGCCTTTAGCTTAGCCCCGACTCTGCATCCACAGAACAGCTTCTTCAGCTCAGCCGGAATTGGATGGGATGTTTAATTCCATATCTGGTAAACTTTAAAGCCAGGAGTTCTTCCTTTGTGTACATTATCTTCTCCATTGTCAGATGAAACAACGACGTAGAATAAAAAACATCGATCAACAAGAAATATACTAATATACACAAATATATTGCAAAAAACTACGAGCTATGCAAACTTGCTGCCAGCATGTCATTTGACTATGACAGAAGGAAGTTTCGACCATTCTTCTGATAGAGCTGCTTCAGTCAGACAAATTCTCAGGATGTCTGGCTCTTCAAACTCAGTCCACAGTATCTCTACTGGATTAGGATCTGGGCTCTGACTGGACCACTTTAGATGGTGGATTTTCTTTGATGGATGGGGTCATTGTCCAGCTGCATCAGCAGCTTCTCCTGAGCTTCAGCAGGTGGACAGACACCCTGAAACTTGATGTGGGGTCACAATATGTGATCAACTGACCGCAAATAGAATCTAACCCCATTATAATAGCAATATGCCAAGGTGCAGGTGCCTGGCTTTCAAAGGGAATGGAAGATGGCACTGTGATTGGTTTATTGGATGTTACGCCCAAAACACTCCCATGAATAATTAAGAGACTAAGTACAACCCTTTTGAACCATGTGCCTGGAGCAGAGACTGTTTTTTCCACTGTTAAAATAGCAATGAAGATATGGACACACCACATGCTTCAGACCATGATCTTTGGTTCGTTAAAATAGAGCGCAAAGTGTCTCTGACCCACAACCTCAAAACTGGTTTCACTGACTGACTCCAGGTCGGATAACTCATGACTCCAGTTAGCTTCTGTTAATGTCATTAGTTGAGGATTACACAGTTTCAGCTGCACTGTCAATGTTTGTTTTCAATGTGGACAAGAACAACAATGATCCTGCATTTTTTGGCAGATATTCATTCAATTGAATGTAGTCACACTTTAATGTTTGTAATAAACACTGAATGTTTAATGCTGCTCATGTTGAATAAACATTCCTCATTCAGTTTCACACAAGGTTCAGGATCACTTTATCTGACCCTGATGACTCCTCGGTCTTACCTGGACATGGAGGCCACTGCAACCCTGTCACTTGGCCGGTCCTCTTCAACCTCTCCGATGATGAAAGTGGCAGGACTCCTTGAAGGTTTTGGATTTGCTCTCCATCCTGGAGCCTCCCCATGATCCCTGAAGACCCTGATGTGTCCACAGAGGGTCTGCAGGAAGGAGGTGATGTCAATCTCCTGTAGGGACTCTTCACAGTAGTCCATAGCCATCAGGACGTCCTGGGAGCTGATGCTGCAGGACTGCTGCAGGCTGCGGTACACACCTGTGGAGCACAGGGAGCCAATCAGTAACTAATGCTCAGATCCACTGACTCATCTGTGTTTTAAAAGAACACGCTTAACGTACAGCTGTGTCTCAGAAAAGAGAACTGAACAACTTTTGTAGCTTTGCAACAGTGCAGCTCACTGAATTACAGTCAACCTGGAGCCAACACATGTATATTTATGTGTTTTTCTGATGCACACATCTACGTGTTTCATAGACTCAGACTGTTGAGAATAATAATAGCTGTACCATGTATCAGTCTAATGTATGTTCTTCCTCTAAGCTCCATTGTTTCCAAAACCATTAAAACACAGTGACCGAACATCAGTGACTCTCACTGTCACTAGGTCACATGTTCCTTCATCACCATCAACACACACTGTGGTTTATTTTTACTGAAGTCTCGAACATGTGACCTAGTGACACAAATACTCATTAAAACTGAATGTGGATTCACTAAACACACATGTGGATTCATTCGCATCTGAAAATAGTCTCCAAAAAAAGAATAATCCATTTCCTCCTCCTTGAGTAACAGTTGTAAAGAACTAAAGTGAGCAGATGTTTTAAGAAATGACTGAGACTTTCTTGACAAGAATCAGAGTTTACAGCCAAGCTAGCAACTCTGTACTTGAGCTAAAACTAATGCTAACATACTTATAGTGATGATGCTAACAAGTTGATGCTTCACAGGTATAACGTTTACCATATTCACCATGTTGGTTTAGCCTGTTAGCACTAAACAGAAAGTACAGCAGCCTGAAGGGAACCTCATCAGTTTTGCAGTCAGAGTCAGAGGATCAGCAAAGGTTATCACAGGCCATCCTCAGGGGAACATAAACATCTGAAGAGATCAGTGGACCAACAGACCAACACAGTCATCCCTCTTATGTAAATATCTCTGATTTCTTGTCTATTTAAAAATCCTTGCTGCTTTGTTCTTAATGTTTGTCTTTGAAATATGCAGCATAAAGTTTTATTACTATTCAGTCAGGGAACTTATGCTCGTATTGAAATTGAAATTACCACACAAATGAAATGATTGTTGCAAAACGTGGTAAAATGCTTCAACTATGAACCGACAGACAGAATCAAAATTTAGAAGCTGTTCAACACAGATACTGTGTGTTCATTAGTGATACTGTATATATGTATTATATATATATATATATATATATATATATATATAGTTTTGATTCAGTTTTGAAAAGAAATGAAAAAGTTCAGTCTCTTTTCTTTTTTTTTTTTGAATGTTTTTAAATGTGTACATTTACTATACCTCCCTGTGCTTTCCCTCTAGTGACGTAAAGACGTCAGCACATCAGAGAGCTCCCAGCAGATGACCCATTTTCTTTTTACAGGTTTTAATAAAGCAATCACTGTGTAATTACTGGACAGGATACAGCACCAGCAGAGAAATACACTTACAGATAAACACTTTGAATGTTTACTTTTTCATTTTCTCGAGAAAACAGTTATTAATAACTCCTGAGCAGGTGTATGTTGGTGTGTGGAGGTGAGGAGGGGGTCACCTTTGACGTAGCTCTGGTGGTAATGCTCCTGCAGCAGGCTGCAGTAGTTGGCCAGCTCCTTGTGTTTGTGAGGCTGAGCCAGGAGGTCGGTCCACAGGGACGGACTACTGCGGTCCTGAGACAGTGACCTGACAGAGACAGAGGCAGGGACAAACAGGCACTGTTACGAAGATCTCATTTGGAAAGTATGAGAGTGCTTCACTTTTTCCCATATTATTATGTTGCAGCCTGATGCTAAATCCTTTAATTTAATTTCATCAGTCTACACTCAGTACACCACAATGACAAAGTGAAAAGGGAGTTTTAGACATGTCTGCAAATTGATTAAAAAGGAAAAACTGACAGTGCTGCAACACAATCACCTGCACAGCTCTACTGACTGATGATACACAGAGCAAATTGACTTCATCACCTTCTGAATAAATGATCCCTGAATCTGTTAAAAACACAGTAACAAGTCTGAAGACTTACACAGTTAAATACTTAGTTAAATATTTTATAAAGATAAAACAATTAATTAAACTTTGCATTTAAATGGTGCATTATTAAACATTATACAAATTATAAAACGAATAAATTTGCAACACAATAATATTGTCTGTGACGAATATAAATTTGCAGTTTAAATTAAATTCCAAAATTAGAAACTTAAAATATTTCAAACTTTATAAATAAAATGAGAAGATTAGTTCCTTTTCTTCCATTTACCATAAGTATAAACCAGGAATTAGCCTGTCCCCTGTTTAACTCGATCATCATAACAGGTTCATCTGCCAGACAACAGAGAGGACAGAATCCCCTGTGTGTCTACATCAAAGACAATGTGCTGTCGTGTGATACTGCTACAGGTGACAGTGTAGCATAGCATAGCAGCATAGTCTGGTAATAATTCTACTGTGTGACCACCACACACAGTCACACGACCAGAAGACTGTCTGTGGGATTGCTGCTTCTGGAAAAGCTGAAGCTGAACTGTGTTGCTGGCTTGAATTTGTATGATGAAGCAGTTGAAGTAGCAGGAGAGAGAAAATGGGAAAGGGATGAAGAATACTAACTATAGTGTGACCAGTCTTTTTCACATGGGCGCCTGTTGTCAGTGTTTGGACTGTCTGTGTCTTTGTCCCATGAACTCAGTACCTGAAGATGTCCCTGGGCTGGCGGCTGGTGTTGGGGTGAACCAGTTGCTCCTTCAGGTGCTCCAGAGAGCAGTTGTAGACGTAAACTGGACACTTTAACTGGCTGCTGTCACTGGTGCTGTGCTGGGAAACCTGCCTGCCAAAGCTGATGCGGAAATCTGTCTTCTGTGGTTCAGAGAACTGGACTCCCTCTTTTTCTCCCAACTCTGGAAAAATTAAAAACAAGATTTTCATTAAACCCTACATGTATGAAATACATGTAAATACATAGCAACAGCACCATTTCAGCTTTTATCATTTTATCTGTTCTCTTCTCTCCTCCTCTCTGTGCTCACATATACAGTATTTTAATACAGCTGGATTCACAATTAAGCTGTTGACATTGACATGTTGTCATGACAACAGAGACCAGTGACCAGTCTGACTCTGTGTTGAACCAACAGTAGACTGGCTGTTCACACCAGAAGGTCCTTCTGCTCCTCCACTATTTATAATCACATGTGGAGCTGAACTCATGACTTTATAATGTAGAAGCTTTTCACATGTTCCTGGATCAGCAGGACATTGCTTCATCTGCAACACAAGTTAAAGGAGCATCACCTTGTGTGATGATATATCAGGAGGAGCTTCTCTGCTGCCCCTGTGTGTGTGTGTGTCTGTGTGTGTGTGTGTGTGTGTGGGTGTGTGTGTGTGTGTGTGTGGGTGTGTGTGTGTGTGTGTGTGGGTGTGTGTGTGTGTGTGTGTGTTTGTGTCTATGCGTGCATGTGTGTGTGTGTGCGTTTTGCTCTTTGTTTAGACAATGAGATTTATTTACTTATTGACTGAAGGTGTCAAAACACCGCTCTGGATCGTTCTGGTTCATTTCTCCTGTGTTGCTTCCATTTTTCCCTGTTGAGGGGTTTTTAAGGACTTTTTCCTTTTCCAATTCATGGGTCTAAGTGAGGTGGGGGCTCATGCTGTGCAGATTATATAGCAAGATAGTGAGCTTTGTAAATAAAAGTGACTTGACCTAATTTTGTCCATTAACCCAGTGGCGCTGGCAGCCGTAATCCTGTATGCCCTCTGCATACATTTTTTAAATGATTTTGTTTGGGGTTTTTTTACATCCTGTCTTGAAAATAAAATAGGAGATCCTGTCTTATTTTTTGGCTGCATCCACTCACTAATGTTATGAGTCTAGATTGAAGAGGAGAGAAGGAGATAAAGGAGTAGTTTGGTGCTTTGATCCTCAGTGTTGACACTGCACATGTGGAGCACTGATGAACATCCATCATGATACTGAAATTAATGCTGAGGCCACTCTGTAAGAGTTTGATGTAACGTTCAGATGCAGAATGAACTTGAAATAGGCAGGAATACTATTTATTTTATTGTCTCATGTGGGTTTTTGATTGTTTATTGTAGCTGCTACGTTTGGTCTTGATGTTGTGTATTGTTATTACTATATTTAGTAATTAGTTAGGCAATTGTTCCTCTGATGATGTTGATGCTAAATGAGAGAACCTGTTGCTTCATGCCGACTGTTACTGCACGTTTCTGTGGGATATTCAATACAGTTTATAATAGTATGCTGTGGCCTGTTATTTAGCTGCTGTTGTTTTTTGTGGCAGGCTAATCAGAGTTTTATTGTGGTAACGTGTCTTAACTTTATCACTAAAAAACACAAATCTCTCGCTCATTCATGAGTACACATATGTGCGCGTGTGGGAAACCTAAAGGTAGCGTACAAGTGGACAGGTGGTTCTTGTGCGTACTATGAAATATAGCCCTGCCGGCGCCACTGCCTTAGCCCATTTTGGACTGGACCACACCAAGGTGGTTTTGACTAAAGCCCTGGACAAGAGCATTAGACTAACCTGAGCTGGGGGTCCCAATCTCTGTCTCTGACACCCTGCTGTCCCAGCTGTCCTGTTCCAGGACCAGTGAGTCAGCGGGCCATGTCTGGCACTCAGACTGAGGTGAGACTACAGGGGACCTGGTGGTGAAATGTCCGCTGCTGGAGCTCCTTGGCAATTTACTGGCCAAACTGAGGCTAGACTCAGATTTCTCCAGCCCACTGGTGGAGCCAGACAGGGTGTCAGCCTGAGACTTGATGCTGGGGGTTAGAGTGTCATCTTCCTGCATGCTGATGTTACTGTGAGGTTCTGTCTCTAGCCCTGCCGCCATCAGCATCAGAACATCTGCAAAACAAATACAGTACCCACATTTAACTTCTTCGCATTATGAGAATGTGGTTCAGACCCAGAGAACCATGTTACACTGACACCGAAGGTGTACCTGTGAAAGAAGCAGGGAGGAAGGTGAGGAGGATCTGCTGGGGGCTGATGTACTTGGCGTAGCATCTCCACTGTGGCATAGAGCAGCTGCTCTCCACCAGCAGGGGCTCTTCATCCACCAGGTCTGCATTACTGAAGCTCTGCCACACACAGGTAACATGTTTATCAATGCAGTGGTAAACACTCATTAAGAGAGAAACAAATAAACATGTAGCTCAAGATTAACATAATTCTGCATCTGAGAAAGGCTCTGTTAATATTCTAATGATAACCACAGCGCTGAGCCTTCAACCTTCCTCTTTACCATGAACCTCATTTTAATTCAGATCTTCACAGTAAGTCCAGATCTGTAGGAGGGAGATGTTGTAAATAGGCCAATATGAAGATGTAAAGGACAGACCATTCTACAATTTAAAGCCGGTGGTGTTTTATTTGCTCTTGGCTGGAGAGGTCTCTATGTGGGGGGTCCCCACTCACCCAGTGTCAAGAGCCCCGAGGGGGACAACAACAAAAAAAAATAGAGCAGATGGTACAAATCTGATGCCAGGTGGGGATGGCTGCCTACTGCAATATAACATATATACGGTATGAATATATAGTGATATATGAAGTACTTACATAGCACTGTATTTAATATTTATATAAACTCAATGACTTGCAACTATGGTTTAACACTCACATACATCAAGTTTGCGGATTACCTGTAAAGTGCTAGTAGATCCCATCACCTCCTTGCTGCTGCCGGTGGTGTGGAATGACGTCATTGTGTCCTGTCTGTCTGGAGGCTTCACACACTCCTCTGACAACACACAAAACAGATAAAAGGAAACAAAGACTCATCAGGAGCCTCTATTTGTGTCTGATAAAATGGACACCACAAGATATCTGACATCACACCTGGTAGGTCTGTTAACAGTGAGACGAGTTGAGACACTGACCTTTAATAACAGGTAAGGAGAAAGGAGCCATGTGACCATCTCTTTCTCGCTCTAAGATGTGGTGCATGAAAGCGACGTGGTCACTGTCAGCTAATGGGATCTCTTTGTCACTGAGCTCGTGCTCCAGGCTGCTGTGGAAGAGGCTGAGCAGGAGCTCGTTGGGCAGACAGGTGGAGCTGTGAACCTGCTCCTCATTCTCCAGCACTGAGGACAACAAGCAGAAGACACAGAAAAACAAGGTCAAAAGACAGGACAACAAAGAGAAGACACAGGACTGAAGACTGTATAAGAATAGTCTGATAGATGAACAGCATTAGACCAGTAATACAGATGACTGTATGAAAACAGTATGAAAAATTACTGTATAAGAACAGTATGATAGACGAACAGTATGAGAACAGTATGACAGACGAACAGTATGAGAACAGTATGACAGATGACTGTATGAGAACAGTATGACAGATGAACAGTATGAGAAAAGTATGACTGATAACTGTATGAGAGCAGTATGATAGATGAACAGTATGAGGGTATGATAGATGAACAGCATGAGAACAGTATGACAGATAACAGTATGAGAACAGTATGACAGATCAACAGAATGAGAACATTATGAAAGATGAACAGCATGAGAACAGTACCTGTGCTGAATGTGAGGAAGAAGAGTTCGACCTGCTGACACTTGGGGAGCAGCTGAATGAGGTCAAACTGAAAGGGAACAATGTGGATGCTGTCCTCAGAGGCCAGAGCTTCAGCTGCATACATACAGGAAACAGAAAGTCAAAGACTTTCAAACAGAGCAAGACACAGATTTTACATTACAGAGAATGCAATATTTGACCAAGCCAACAGCAGCGAGGAGCATGTATTGGTAAACACATATATACTGGCAAATTAGCAGAAACTTCATGAATCATCAGTTTCTTCTAATTGCTCCATTTTAATAAACCTCAAAAATTCCTGTAAATATGTTTCACTATAAACTTCAACTTCATGATCCATCAACTGACTAAAATATTTATAAGTAATTAAACATGCCTTTGCTAGTAGTTTTAGTGAATAATGTACTAATGTGTAAACACAGTATTAGTGAATAATTGTGTTTCTGTGATAGAAGAGAAACAGTGGAAAGTACATGATACTGAATTTATCTTGTGAGCCCTCAGTGTTTTTCACCTGGTCATCAGTAGTGACCTGATTTTATTTGTGTGTGTTGGCCATGACTCTTTTAATAATAGTTTTTAGTTGAGAATTTATGAGTGTTTTTATTACCTCTCACACCCTTGAGTCCAGCTGGTAGCGAGCAGACCTGGTCCTTATTCTGACACAGCTGGCTCAGATACTCAAATGTCATCATTGTGGACATACAGGTCAGGTCCCTCGGGAAGATCTATAACAACACAGTGGGTCACTATTAAACAAATTCTAATGCTTCTTATTAGAAATAACTTTACATACAGATAACATGCAGATTACATGCACAGTAAGAGTAAAGTCAGATCTCTGCATGCACCCAGATTCACACTGTTGCCCTCCGATTGTGGAAAACTATCACTCTGCTGCTGTAGGAACTAGTTATACACACTGCCTGAGGGATCTCCTGGTACTTGAGGCCCTGGAGGTGACGATGCTGGTCCATGCAGTTCATCACTGTGCCACTCTGTGGTTCCACCCAGCACTCTGTCACCAGGTTCAGCTCTGTGTCCATGTCTACAGCCTCCACCTCAGTGTCGTTGTCATCGTCAGTGGAGAAGCTGAAGAGTGATGAATGACAAACAGCAAGCTGAACAAATGAACCAAAACTTAAGGTTATTTACATAACACCGGTTCTTTGAGTAATATCAGTCAGATGTCTCACTATGGGAGCAAGCCTCACTGTGACCCTCAGAAGCACTCATCTCATTACCTGATTGGCTGGTGACCACAGCACCATTCAAATAAGCAACCTCTTCTCACCCGCCCAAGCAAGACATCTCACTCATATTACTCAAAGAAGTGGGTTTATGTAATTAACCCAAAGTTCTTTTTCATAATATTCCGTTGGATGTCTCACTATGGAATGCAGTAGCTCCTGTTTTGCCAGACAAGCTTATCTAGCGTCCACCAACCTGCAGGAGAGTCCAGTTAGGACTCCAAAATTGTGCGCCACGCACGAGGATGAGACGTCTAGCATATAAAAGCGGACAAAAGTGAGAGGCGAGGACCAACTTGCTGCCACACAAATGCCCTGAACAGAAACTCCCCTGAATAGGTAACAGGTTTTCCCTTACGAGGATTAGCCAAGGAAACGAACAGCTGATTGCTGCATCTGAAATCCCTCGTCTTATCCATGTAAGTGCGCACAGCACAAACCGGACACAATGTGTGTGACCGCTGCTCTCCAGGTGAGACAGCTAAAGCCACAAGGTTAACAGGAAAACATGAGCCAACCACTTTAGGCACAAAGGCTGGATTGAGCTTCAATGTCATCTGTACATTCCCTGGGGCAAACTGAGCGCATGAAGGGTGCACTGAGAGCGCATGGATATCGCTCGTGCGTTTGGCTGAAGCAAGTGCTAGCAACAATACTGTCTTCAGAGACAGATGTTTCAAGTTCGCTTCCTCCAGCAGTTCAAAAGGAGGGCCCTTCAGTCCCTCCAGAACCACAGCTAAATCCCATGGGGGCACCAGCGTACTGGAGACAGGGAGAAGCCTGCAAGCCCTCTTCATAAAACGGCACACCAGCGGGTGCTGGCTCACAGTCTGAGAGGCAAGTTGTGAAATACACCGAGTCCAGAGACGATCCCAGAAAGACTACGCTCTGTGCTGGAAAAAGCATGATCTTTTCCATGTTCATCATGAAACCTAAGCGTGTGCACTCTGGCCTCCTGCTCCGATTGTGCCAACAGGAACAGTCGTCCACATACGTTGCTAAGCGGATGCCCTGGCGTCTCAGCGGGGTGATAGCCGGTTCTGTACACCATGCGAACACAGATCCCGGGTCTGACGGGGATCTAGGATGACAGTTATCACTCTTTTGTTTAACAGCGAGAGGATTTGCTCCTGTCGAACACTAGCTGACTCTCCCTAGGCCTGGGAATGTATTAAACCAGAGAACCAGGGAGGGACCATGGCCAACTGAAGCCTGAACCTCTGCGAGATCATGCATAAAACCCAGAGTGGTGCCGTGAGCACGCTCCACCTGTCCCGTCTGAGGGGGAGAGGAGACACACGGTGCAGCCTGCTTGCCACCGTTAGAGGCCCCCACAATGGTGTTGTGGAAGGCTCTGGTGGTGGGGTTCAGGCATTGTCCCCCGGGGAATAACAGGAACTTGGGGGTTCATCTCCCCACCAACAGGTGGGGCCGGCGAACAGGGAACAGCCAGCTGCCTCACCTGCAGGGAGAGAGCCTGTCAGGCCACTCTCTCCTTCTTCCTAGCCTGAAAACTGACAGCTGAGGCAGGTTGAACCGGTGGAGCTGTAGCAGGGGCTGGGGCTTTCCTGAGCCAGCCGGGTCCATTCTCCTGCCTGGAGGAAGGGCTTTGGGCTGAGGTTTTCGCCGTTTTGGAATTTTGAACTGCGGGACCGGAGAAGCAGCCTGTGCAAAGGTTTTTCGCTATACAGGCAAGGCGGGAAATGGGGCTTTGCAAGGGAGACAAAGCTTGAGCGCCTCGTCTTCCTTCCTCTTGGCCTCACATCCTCACTTCATAATGCTTATTATTAATGTTATTAGCTGTCATTACTATTTCTAACAGTATGAGCACTACATTTGTCACTACATTACTATCACTGTTACTGCCACTACTATCACTATTATTAATATTAATATTGCTATCACTGTTCGTTCTTGTTCTTTTCCTCTGTGCTCTCTCTTGCTCTCTCTCTCTCTCTCTCTCTCTCTCTCAAACCCAACCGTTTGAGGCAGATGGCCACCCACCCTGACTCCGGTTCTTCTCGAGGTTTCTGCCTCTTAAAAGGAAGTTTTTCCTTGCCACTGTTGCCTAGTGCTGCTCTTGGTGGGAATTGTTGGGTCTCTGTAAATAATATTAGAAAGAGAAGGTCTAGACCTGCTCTATTTGGGAAGTGCCTTAAGATAACATATGTTGTGAATTGGCGCTATACAAATAAAAATTGACTTGACTTGACTTGACTTCATGGAGGCCACACAGAAATTAAGGTACCCTCCGCGACGACTGGCATGTCGAGGATATCGTCTTCTTCTTTGTCAAACAGGTCGGCGAGGTTAAGCCACCGCGCTCGTTCCTGTAAAACCATGGTTCCCAGTGCTTTCCCCGGGGCCTAGGCCACACAGCGTTGAACATGGAGGTATAAGTCAAAGATGACTGGTATTTCCTCCAGTGAACCTGGGTCCTGGGTTCTTTCGTACTCATCACATATCTCCACTTGGTACGCAGTGAGGGGTGAGAGAACATTAGGTTCCCTGAAACTGGTCCGACTTAGAGGGCAGTGTAGGGCTTCGGGATGACAATGACAGCCGAGGATGGAGGTGTGCCGTGACCAGCGGCTCCATCGGAGGCATATGCAAGAGATCCAGGCTCTCCATCATTTCACAGTCGAGGTATGAGGCACCGAGTATTGGCTTCCTATTCGGGCCGTCTTTCCATGGATGCGCCATCTCCATTAGCAGCTCCGGGAAAACTAGGAGAAGTTGTCTCATCGCCGAACAGAACATTATGAAAAAGAACTACAGGAAATGTTTAGCAGTGAAATATGTTTCTTGTCTATTTGGACTTGAGCTCAGTCATAATACAAAGGCACTGCCAGCACTCATGTAGGTGGGTCAGTGTGAAGGCTAAGCTTTGCAGACCAAAAGTTTGTGTTATAACCACTCTTTCGGGGGGTGGCCATCAGTCTCTAGGTGTTCACATCAGCAGGTGACTTCACCTGGTTCCTGGCTCTACTTGAGGGACTGTAAATCAGTAAGGGGAGATTTTTTTTGTATTCTTGGGCCTGAATTGTACACTATATGGTTTGGCCAGTCTGGTGGGACTCTGATGTTAGTATCAAAAGCAACACTGTGGCAGACAGCGATGCAGTGTGTTGTTGACCAATCAGAGCTTTGATGGTGGAGTTAAGAAGGGGGATGTCATTTTTCAGTTACTTAACCACCTCCATGGAGGCAGAAAAATGGCTGCCAAAATGCCAAGATGTGGAAAAGCATGACTAAGATGGACATATGTTTCTTTGAACATTGTGAAGAATGTGAACTGCTTCAAGCAACAGATTCCATGTCTGTTGGAGCAGGACTGATACATCGCTCACTACTGACTGTACTGTCAGCAGTGAGTACTGTACTGTACTGTACTGAAGGTCAAGAGCAGTTCATTCTTTATCAGTTCATCATCAGGCTGAGTGATGACCACTGACACATTCAGTGTGAGCAGCCTTTAAAACAGGTGTTCTCTGCAGGTGATGGCTGCTGGTCTCACCTGTCCTTAGTGGAGGTGGAGTGAGGAGGAAACAAGATGTACTGAACGATACAGGAGTGACTCTCTCTGTCCGTGTCTTCTGACATCCCCTGAGGAAGAAACCACATTCAGTGGAAACTGATTACAACCAATGGTAATAAAACATGCAAAAACATGACAGAAACGAGGAGAAAAACTTGATGTGGTGTTGTTGTTTACCCTCATCGGAAGCTCGATCACCATGTTCACAATGCCCTCTCCACTGGCAGCAAAGTGAAAGCCTTCTGAAATCCGGATGCTGCACAGACATGAAGAGAGCAACACATTCAATGCAGCTGTCCATCACATGTGAAACCAACACAGCTGTTGTCTTTATGTCTTTACTAAACAAATGTTGTTTAACTCTTTCTATGTCTGCTGCAGTGCATCAGTGAATGTATCAGTGAACAACTGAAGAAAGTTTTCACTGATAATACCATAACAGCATCTGAAAAACTAGGCACAACTGAATGAACTGAAAATTATTAGTGTATGAAAACAGTACTGATTATTGATTATTAGAATTGATTATTTCAATTTCTAGAGTGATTCAGAAAATGTAACAAAGGGTAAAAATTTCTGACACTCAGAAGCAAAAATATGAACAAACTGAAAGAACTACTTTGAACATGTCATGAAATAAACAAAGTGTGTGAACTCACTCTGAGAGCATGGACAGGATGTGAGCGACAGCCTGCATGGCCACAGCTGGACCTTGGCTGCTCTGCACGGCCCACACCCAGCGCTGGTGCAGGAAGTAGCGGGACAGAGAGGCCAGGGTGGAGGAGGCGGTCCGGTTGGCTGCCATGCTGAGGGGCACTGCACTGTTGGAGGGCTGCAGAAAGTTCTCCATGTTTAAAATGAAGGGAGTCCTGAAGTCCAGGGGCAACTTCTCGTACCTGCAAAGCATCCACAGTTCACACAGTTCATTACAACTGCTTCAGCCTCATCCCACACAGAGGACACATTGTGGTGTCTTTGATCAAGGTACATATCACAGGTGAACTCATTTGAAGTAACCATACCAAAACTTTTAACAATACAGTAAAAAGAGAGAGATAAATGGCAGAGCACACATGTCCTGTGGAGCCTGGGTCTTTATTTGGTTTCATGTTGTATGATGCACTGACCTTATGAGCAGCTTCTCTAGGGGCTTATTGAGCACCACCACACATGGTCTGTCTGACAGTGCTAGTTTGGGAGCAGGGATGGAAGGGGATTTAGATGGAGACGGATGGCCAACAATCTTCCTCTTGGTCTTGGGGGTGGCCTCTTTGTTCTGAACACGGTGAGGGAAGCGGAGTTTGAGGATCTGCTCTCGCAGCTCATCCACAATCTGTTGACAGACAGAGATGTTATGAAAGGACAAATCATTCAGCATGTAAAGTTAAATGCACCTGATGTTGAGCATCATGGGTCACACCTGGAAACATTAGTTTGACAAAATAATCTTAACTCAACGTGCACTTGCTAACTTTTGTAAGAGCTTTATCAGCAGATGGAGTTGGCAAACCTTCTAACCAACAGTCTTCATATGATAAAGACCATGAAAGCCCCAGAAAAATCTAGAAAGTCGTCCTTGAGTTAACATGTCTGTCAGCTGCTGTATTATCTTCTAAATGTTTAAAACACTTTCTACTAACAGACAATATTTAGCCTGTGAAGCAAAATAAATACAATCAGAACAATCCACACAGCCTGTAGTTACTCTCTATTAACATTATGCAGTCTGATGTCATCCAATACATCACCACCACAAACAGGCTGGCACCAACAACTCTGACGCTGTCTACAGCAAACACTGAACAGCGCCATGTTCATAAAGACATGATCTGCTGCAGACACAGTTGTTAGTAAAAGTGCTGATTCTATAATTATAATCCACTCTCTGTACCTTGTTTCTAACATGGGCTGGAGTACCAATAGGGAAGCCTAGGCGCAGCACCATGCAGGGCGTCTTGGAGATGAGGCGAACCAGGTAGAAGGATGTGGGAGGCTGGTCAGATGAACTGTCGAGACAGAATTAGGTGAATCTTATTGTTTTTCAACATGAATTTCCCATTTTAAAGACTGTTTTACGACTGTGACCTTAGACAGTCATACCCAACCCAAACAAGTCATCAACATCCTGGCCTCTGCCTTACTGTGGACATGAGCTGAGAGCACCTCAACAAAAGAGTTATTTAAAGAGTAATGTCTTGCAGCATAAATACATATTTTTCTTTCTTATCCCTTCAATCATCTTGTTTCACCCTCAGATTTATCTTAAGATCTCTAGAGGGGTCACAACCCCCAAAGTAGGGAAACACTGACCCACAAACCTATACCCTGAGGAGAACACAGTTCCAGTTTATGGGGATATATTTTGCATGAAAATGATGCTGATGCTGTTTCTGCTGTCTCACCTGTATATGAGTTTAACATATGAGTAACCCTCCACCAGCACAAAGCTGCTCCAGTCCCTCAGCAGAGACGTGAGGGCAGTGTGAGAGATACGACACTGAATGGTGCTGTAGCGTCCGTTGTTTCCAGCTGTGTGCAGGTGTTTGGGGATGGGCCTGAAAGGACAGAGCTATTAGTGTGATGAAGGACTGACAGACCAAAGAAAACAACCAAACATATGTAGCAGATAACGAGATAAATAGCATGAGTCTGTACAACGGACAGAAACTTGATACACCTGTATGGATCTACATCCACACAAACACATTCTTTACCGTTGTCTCTTTCAGATCTCCCTCTTCCAGCTCATCAAATTTGTACCAGTGAAGCTGTTACCTACAGTATGATCCAGACTGTGCACATCGCCTTTACACAATAAAACACAAGGACAGTACATATTTCTCACATGTCATGTTCGAGGATGATAGCGATGCGATGCATGTGCAGCCATCTCTGCCAGAAGTTGGCGTCCATGGAGAGGATGGGCTTCCAGTAGGAAGCAAACTGAGACTGAGGGGAGTCTTTGGATCCACTGTGCTGCAGGGACAGAACCTGGAACCAGAGGTCAGTCGGTTGAGGGAGGTTTGTAAATAGAAGAAAAGCAGAGAGAACACAAGGATTAAGGTGCAACTTCAACACCATTAACTAAGAAAGGCAGATTAGCATCATTCATTTCATTACTGTCATTACAGCTGTTTGGTATTTAAAGTCATAATGGTGGGATTTTTCTTTATTTTTCTTATTGTCAACAAGCCTCATGAAAACACCAAAACCAATAGTGTGTTAGTCTCTTGGTACTCTCTGACCTCTCTGCCCTCTCTGTAGTTCTGAGCTCACTAGTTCCTACTGAAGATGAAAATCTCTAAAAACTCCTCTTAGATAGATAGACAGAGAGATACTTTATTTATCCCCTAGGGGAAATTCATGTGTCCATTAGCTAATTGTTGATAGTAATAATAATAATAATAATAATAATAATAATAAATAGATTAGTCCACTTCCTTTGGCTGAGGTGTTGTATAGCCTGATGGCAGTGGGAACAAAGGATCTCCTGAACCTCTCTGTTCTGCATCGCAGTGAGATGAGACATTTGCTGCACCTGTTGCTGCTTCTCTGTCCTGCCAGAATGTTGTGGAGAGGATGGTTGGTACTTTCCAAGATGGCCTCCATCTTACATTGCATGCGTCTCTCCACAACAGTCCTGAGTGAGTCCAGAATCCTGCCAAGCACAGACCCAGCCTTTTTGACCAGCTTGTCCAGTCTCTTTGTGCTCATGTCGGACATGCTGCTGCCCCAGCAGACTGCAGCATAAAAGAACACTGGTGACCACTGACTGATAAAACATGTGCAGCATTTCACTGCAAACGTTAAAGGACCTGAGCAACCTGAGGAAAAAGAGCCAGCTCTGCCCCTTCAGGTAGGTGGCATCCGGTTCAGAGACTAGTCCAGTTTACTGTCCAGGTGCATACCTAGGTATTTAAGTGTGCACCACCTCAATGTCCTTCTGTCGAATGTTGACTGGCTGAAGGGTGGGCCTAGACCTCCGAAAGTCCATGATTATCTCCTTGGTCTTGGAGGTGTTCAGAAGGAGGCACTTCTTGTCACTTGTTTCACTGAAGGCCATTGTCGGGTCCCTGTACTCCTTTTCCTGCCCATTCCTGAGAAAAGTGTCTTATTTTCCCTTGTGGGACAGTCAACATACTGAGTGAAGTGAGTCAGGTTGAGAGGTGAGACTGACATGGTTAAAATCCCCTGATATTACAATGAATGCATCAGGGTGCTGGGTCTATACTCTCGCAACAGTCTCGTGGATGACGTCACACGCGACTGCAGGTTCAGCTCGTGGTTGAATGTAAACAAGAATGACAACGATGTGTGAGAACTCCCTCGGTGCATAGTACGGTCTTAGTACTGCCAACAGTTCAATATCCCAACAGCAGATCTTCTCCTTCACTGTGATGTGACCAAGGTTGCACAATCTATTGTTCACAAGCAGAACCAATCCTCCACCTTTATTCTTCCCACCTGCTCTGGCGTCTGTCCGCTCGTACTACAGCGAAGCCAGGTAAATCCACACAACGGTCAGGAGTGTTGTTGTTTAACCATGCCTCCATGAAACACGAGACTACATTCACGATATGCTTGCTGGTTCTTCACAAGTGCCTCCAGTTCATCACACTTGTTGGCCAGGGAGTTGACATTTCCCATGAGGATCGATGGTAGAAAAGGCTTATATCTCTATCCAGCCCTGGTGTTCCATTGATTATTTATGGCAGCAGGACGTGTGTGTGGGATTAAGTCAATGTAAACCAGAGTATGTGTGTGTGTTCATGGTGATGAAGGAACATGTGTAACAGTGGGTCACTGATGGGTTCTAATAGTTTCTGGAAACAGAGGAGCTCTGTGGGTCAGATGACTGAGATGATCAGGAGGTGAGACTCACACAGCAGAGGAGATATTAACTGTTGGTTTGAGTCTGCACATGATATTTATCGACAATAAGACAAAATCCCTTCGTATCAATTACTTTCCAATCAGGAAATTAATCAAGAATTACAAAGCTCCTGGAAATTTTCAGAGTTGGACCATGGATTTCAGATCAAACATCCTGTATACTTTTAAGACTAGAATAACAACAGCAACCTCTCAAACCCCAGGGTGTCACTTTTGACACCTTTGCTACTGAAACCTATTGAATTACAGTCCAGTTTCATAAACCGGAAGTGGCAGCTGCTTTAGATCATGTCTGATAGATTTTGCACTTTTTTCCACCTACAGCTTAAAGTCATTATGTGCAGAAATTCATACTCTAGTATATACCAAAAAAGACACTCTCTCAGACCAGACAGCCCAGGTTCTCAACATTGTGGTGATGCAGGATCAGTAAAGGTCTGCACAGTACCGGAGTAGTGGATCCAGGGGGGATGTAAAACAGAGGAACTCCGTTTTTGGTGCTCTCAGGGATCATGTAGTTCTCAGGAATTGAATTAAACGCCTGGAGGTGCACCAACATCTGATCAGTCTGGTTGATGCTGGAAGGACACACATTAGTTAGGAGACAATCAATCTCTATGAAATGTATCATCACATGTTGTATTCTAATGCTGGAGCAGACATGTGTTGTTTTACCTCTGCAGTGTGTTCCAGAAGCGGCGGATGACAGAGGTGCGGTATGGGCTGGTGATGGGTTTCCTCTGGGTGCAGCTGATGTCATGGAGGATGTCATAGCTTCCCTCCATTGTCACCTCCACCCTCGTGGTTCTCTTGGCGGGGTCCAGTGGCCAGCAGGCGGCTGCCAGGTACTCAATATGCATATTGTGTTTCCATAACAACACCAGCTTCACCTCCAGCTGAGTCCCACCTGCAGAGATCATGAGCCTCATTATTATGTCAGGATCCAAGCTCTCGTTTTGTTTTGATCTTGCACTACAGACAGGTGTGTACCTTTGGTGAGGCTTATCTCTCTGATGGTGTAGCCTTCTCTCAGTCGCACAGACACAATGCTGATTAAATGAGCATGGACTTCCTTCTCTGTGTGCTTCTTCCTCCTCATCACCAGGGCAGGGTTTCCACTGGCTGACACCAGGTGCTCATTGAACAGTTTGTGCTGGGAAACTACAACACAGTGACGTAGTTAGGAGACCTGTTTATCATCATCTTCATCATGATCAATATCATCATCACCATCATCAGTACCAATAAATTGTATGTTAAGTAACGATAATGGAAATGTCCTAAAAATAAATCCTCCCTGTCTCTCTCTCTGTCTCTCTCTATCTTTCTATCTACCTCTGTATGCCTCTCTCTCTGTCTCTATTTGTGTACATATCTATACAATATTATTTATTTATTATTTGGGGGGTTTTTGGTCATTGTTTGTTTATTTGGTGAGTGCAATATTTCTTTTTTTCACACATTGTAAATTTAAAATTGACTTTAGTTAAATAAAGAAAGTTGACAAATAAAAAAAATCTCTCTGTCAGTCAGGTAATAACCTAGAAACAGACTCAGTTTCACAACTTATCTCATGTGTAGCTATCTCACCACAGAAGTACTCTGAATTCATGGACTCAGGGGTCTTGAGGAAGGAGTAGGTTAAGAAGGCCTTGTGGTAGGCGTTCATTTCCTGGCTGTTCAGGTCCACTTCAGGGCAGTTCGGCAAGTACGAGCCAAAGGTGGCTAATGAGATGAACTTCATCAACTCCACGTTGGGGATGTATCCAAAGCTGCAGTCATAGGAGTACGCACCGCCAACCTGGGAAAGCACAAACACAATTCAGAGTGTTGGCAACTTCTACAAGTCTCCTCCACTCTGGATCAAGATACAGAGTCATGTTCATCGCAGAACCTTTTTTCTATAACAGACAGAACCATTGAGTACAATGTTATGAATTCTACCCTGATGTTCATCATATTCAGGAAGTGTTTACATGGAATATAGAGCACAGAGTAACCTGTAAGGAATATTGGTGTGCAAGCATTTCTTTTCATTCCTAACATGTCTTAAGGCACCGATAAAAAGACAACCCCACAAATACAGCGTACACCTACAGGACCAAACTGAGACCTGACAACAGTCCCTCATGAATATTTTGTGACATTCCACTTGAAAAATGAAGCTGAACAAACAACATTAACGTGTTTTCCTCTGTACCTGCACAAAGGAGCAGGCGATGGTTCCACTCCTGAGCTGGTTCAGCAGGGTTTCACACACTGCTACATCAGGAACACTGGTCACTCCATCTGTGATTATAATGATACCTGGAAAACACACAATAAATTCATAACTCAATTCTGAGTGATGAATGATGAACTCTGATAGAGTTCCAATCTGCTTCTATTGTGTGAAAGTAATCTGAACTTCTCTCTCAAGCTTTTCATTCTTTTTCCATGATACTTCTGTCATGAGAGGAAGTGACTGCAACAGCATGAACGTGCTCAAAGAGAGACTGTCTCAGAGTGAGCACTGTTACCTCCAACTGTACAACTCATCATGTCAAGAATACAACAAGACAGTGTTCCTTGGCTGCAGACAGAAGGAAGCTCTGACACTTTAGAAGTGGCTGGATGGCCTAGTTAATTTGAAGATTTACACTTCAGCTCGTACCACGCTCAGTGATGACATGACAATGTCACTATCACACTGTTGCCCTGAGGGTTCAACACACTGCACCCTCAGAAATCACATGCAAGTAGACGCTCACGCACGCACACACTCACACTCACACTCAGTGTCCAGAGTAGTTTCTATTGTCATCTCTAAGCACACTTTCTGGTATGTGGTGGAGTTTGAAGTTGTAATAAAAGGTTTTCTAAACTTCCACTATTGGAGGATGTTTGAACTTTGTCAAAGAGGTTCTAGGGAAGGACTCGAACTCTTTAGAAAAACCCTTGATGGAGAACCTGGCACAATGACAACCCTGGGCATTTGAAGCAAACATACCTGCACTGGAGTTTGGAGGCAGCAACTGAAGGGCCAGGATGCCCTGGCGTACCATGCTGACCAGACCCATATCAGCTGACACCATGGAAACGCCCTGTTTCCTGTGGGGCTGGTCGTCCAGTTTGTTGCTAGGGAGACCTGAGTTTTGGAATGGCTCCATGGACTTAAGGCACAGGAAAAGAAATACGTTGGTCTACGTTTTCATCAACATTCACGACCAGTGGATGGTGACATCAGGCTGCTAGTCAGCAGGGCTTTAGAAAAACCTATTTCTATTCTACTCTGATTCTATTAGTGGTAGTATCTGACGCAGGGTGGGGGTTACCTTTCTTCTTTACTATATAATAATACAGAATCTAAGCTGCTCCAATGCAAATATTTTAATTTGTGACAAATAAATAACTGAACAATACACATAGCTTCACTGCTTCATGTTGTGTCAAACAATACATCAGACTGTGGATACACACAGTACCTGTTAGTTGGTTTGAGTCTGCACATGGGATTTGTTGAGATAAGAATGTAGAATATCACCAGCTCTAGTGATAAAGATTTTGGAGAGGCTGATGCTGGTAACATTAATATTAAATATAATAATATAAAATATTTATTTCAAACTGTTTACATTTGTTTTGTAAAAACTGTGATATGTATTTTTTAAGGGGATTTTAAAAGACAGTGTAGATACTGTTGATGTGCACTTGCCTGTTCATGCTGCTGATGCAAGACTTCTGCGATGTTGCTCTCCACTGCTCTGAGCTTCTGATAGATGTGGTGCAGGAACTCATCCAGGTCTGTTCGATCAAGCTGACAGCCCTGCACCAAAACCTGAAGGGGAACCAGGCTGTCAGAGGACTGAAATAACATCTACTGTAAACAAGAAGAGGATCACATGTGAGCTATTGTCCTCAGACCTGATGGGAAGTGAGGTCAATAATTGATGAGTATGCCAAGATGGTGATGAAGATCTTGGGCTTGAAGAGCTGATCAGTTCCAGGGACTTTGAATGGTAGAGCAAGACCAGCCAGACACCTGGACAGGGCGTGAAACACCTCATCAAAGATCATCTCTCCTGTGCTGTCATCCTGCACAACACAAGTAGAGAGAAGAACTGTGACCAAAATCCGTAGTGAGACTTTTCAGTTTCCTCGGGTGGACAAACTTTATAATTGTACCACTCTCTAAATGACCTCAAACATTTCTTGCTACTTACACAGTACTGAGCAAACATTTCATTTCATTAATGCCATGAATAATTTTAACTTCTTTATTAAAGTGCAGTAAAGAGAAAAAACCTGAATCAGATCAGTATTTGCAGTATTTGCTCTCCTAAGTACACCTGCACACAGTACGTTTCATGTGTGAAATTCAGTAGACACATGTAACAACACAAAACTCTGGAAAAAACCTCTTGGAGCTGTACCCTAAACCCCACAGGAAGTCAGCCATTTTAAATTTACTCTGCAATTTTGGCATATTTTCCATAAACAGATGTTGTACTTCTCCACCTCCTAGAGTATTCTTGCTGAAGTGGTGCTTTCTAACACACCAGTGGTTTTAGCTTGTGTTTATGGCTCTATGTGGGATGACGCTAATTTCTTTAGTGACATTTCCAGACTGGGGGAGACTTTATCTGTCCCCTCAACCCCTCTCTGGACGAACCCCTGAAGATTCAAAAACCCTGAAAGTAAACTATTTGCCTTTTCCCCCCTGTGCATCAGTTGTATTTGAGAAAAGACTTCTTTCTGGTGGACAACAGACTCCATACATAAATCTACTCATCTACCAACTCCTCCTCTGCATATCTTAACTCTGTGGTTCATTTTCATCACAGTCTCACTGCAAAGCCAAAGCTCTGGCTTCTGAGCACCGGACAAATCTGAACCTCTTTACTGATGATGGCACCAGATAAAAGTTCTTCCCGTGTGGATGAATGTCTGCACAAAATCCAACATTTAGTCTGGACCAAAGTGGTCACGCTGCCTGCATTCTTAAAAAGACCCAAGACATGGGGCACCTCAGTGGCTCACCGCGTAGAGCGTGTACCAAAGACTTAGTCCTAACCATGACTATTGCCCATGGGTTCTAGTCTGTCCCCCGGCCCTTTGCTGCATGTCATCCCCTCTCTCTCTCCTTGACCGTCCTGTCTATCTCTGACTGAATAAAGGAACACGAATAAAGGCAAAAATGCCTAAAATAAAAAAAAGAGACGACCCAAGACATAAATGATTTTTTCCAGTGCAGTGTGAATCTGACCTGTACAATACAAACTATAAATGTATAATTGCAACTCAAGCACAGAATGGAAATTTACTGAGATTTTAATGTACTTGCTAATACCGGATATTCTATAGATATTACAGACACAAAAAGAAATACTTTTCCATCGTGAAAAACAAAGCAAATAATTGACACAAATGTGATGATGAATTTGTGGTTGCTGGGATAAAGAACACTCCTGACACTTCACATTCTCATCTGTTGGCAGCATTAATTTAGGAAACAAGCTAACAAACAACCACACTGTGTTAAAGTCTCACCACAATCCCAGTGGAGGGGCTGAGGTCCAGCTCAATGATGAAGCGGTACCTCCGGGCCAGGAAGGTGGCCCGAGTAGATGGCATCAACATGTAGGGGTACAAAGTGGGGGGGAAATCCGGCTGCCATCCTTTTGGTAAGATGCTCAACAGGTCCAGTTCATTCTCTGAGTTCAGCTGTAAATGACAAACATGATATCAACAACTAATCACTCACAACATTAATGAGGTTCAGAAAAGTTCTCACATTATTAGTCAAGCTCACTTTTATTTATGTTAATATTATGTCTCATAAATATTAAAGCAGCTATACTAAGTTTGAGGATTCCACATCTGGTGCCTTTACAGGGAGAACTCAAGTATATAACATGTAGTTTTTTAATTGTTAACATGAGCATGGAGGACACAGGCCACCACAGTGACACTGAGACTGAATACTGGCTCCTCTCTCAGTATATTCTCAGTATATACCAGTGGTACAACAATTTTGTTTTATTGTCATATACCAGTTCTTAGTGGCATACCATCTTTTATGCTGGCATAATTACATATAACACTAGACAATGCAATTTCCAGAAAAATTGCGGTGGGATTGCTGCTTCTGCCCTAGCTGAAGCTAAACTGCGTTGCTGGCTGCTGAGAAAAAGTCTGAATCTGAGCTTCATTGTTAAATGCCAGCAACTAATATTTTAAATGGAGCTGCAACCAACTCTGTCTGTAAAATTTGATGAAGTTCCTTCAAGGTGTTCTGGAGATATTATGTTCACAAGGTCAAAACTGAGTGTTATGAGGTTAGCACGCCCTTGAACTTTGACCCCCAAAATCTAATCAATTCATCCTTGAGTCTAAGTGAACAATTGTGCCAAATTTGAAGAAGTTCCGTCAAAGTGTTGAAATATTGTGTCCACCAGAATGGGACGCTTGTCCTTATGGATGGATGGACATCATGAAACCAATATGTCTCCGTCTCTGGCTGTCACCAGCGAGGAGGCATAAAAACTGCCAAATGTCAGTCAAATGTTTGATAAACACCACAGACTTCACAGAATTCGTCTAAATAGCTGATCTGCATAAGCTCTGTCTGTCAATCTGCACTCAGCGGTTGCCATGGGACTACAATGACTGCAATGACTACAAGGACTAACTGAAAAACTACAATTGCCACCTCACAGTTGTATCCCTCTGCCACTCACACTAGTTTCAGATTATATCCCTGTTTATCTAGGATCACATAAGATATTAACCATTTGTGCCAAATTTAGTCATAATTGCCATGTGAAGTCTTGAGTTATTGCTAAAAACTGTATTCTGAGGTCACCATAGCCTTGACCTTTGACCACCAAAATCTTACCAGTTTGTCCTTGAGTTCAAGTGAACATTTTCACCAAATTTGAAGAAATTCCCTCAAGGTGTTCTGGAGATATTATGTTCACAAAGCCGAAACTGTGTTTTGAGATCACCACGCCTCCAAAATCTAATCAGTTCACATGTGAGTCTAAGATAACAATTGTGCCGAATTTGAAGAAGTTCCGTCAAAACGTTACTGAGATATCGTCTCCACCAGAATGGGACATTTGTCCTTATGGATGGATGGACATCCTGAAAACAAATATGTCTCCGACTGTGGCTGTCGCCAGCGAGGAGGCATAAAAACTGACAAATGTCGGTCAAATGTTTGATGAACACCACAGACTTCACAGAATTCGTCTAATAAGCTGATCTGAATCACCTCTGTCTGTCCATATGCACTCAGAGGTTGCCATGGTGATCTTGAGTGCTCAATTGTGACACACCTCTCAACCTCTGGCTTGCCAATCAGAGACTATTAATCCTATCAGCTAAAGCCTTGTGTTTTCTGAGAAAGGGGACTCTGCTCAATGCAGTGATATAAAGTACTTGTGTGTGGAGTCAAATGTAGCTCCAAAGTAATCTACCAATTAGAATATATGTAATGTGGAGTCAGTTAGAATGGACTGAAACATATTTCCAGGAAAAACTGTTGAAATGTATGTAAATCATTACCTGTATTTAGTGTTGGAGTAGTCTGTAGTAGTCTGTCTGCTTTGGTTTGACAGTTTGACATTTTAAAAATGCTTCCCTTCCTGTTTCCTCCTGATTCTGCTCTCATTTTACATTAGAGTGAAAGGGGCAGTTAGATGGTAACCTGCCACTTTGGAAGGGCACAATTCAAATTCCGTGAGTTTCTGTGTGCTTTGTTAGTCACATTGGGCCTGATTTACTAAGATCCAAAATAAAGAGCGCTAAATTGCGTGCGCACACGGATAGATTGCGCGCGCTGCCTGTTTGGGGCTTGCAAGTGATTTACTTAGATTAACAGCGCAATTGACTACAGGTGCAAAAGTGATTGAGCCCGCCCTATTTAAATGAGGATTTTGCGCGAGTTAAGGGTGTTCACTGTGGCGAATGCAAACGAGCAGACCCAATGGAAGCGCAAAAGCAAATTTGAAGCCATGGAATTGGAGGTGCTGGTACAAGAGGCAAACAAGCACATTTGTGAGTTTCATAGCAGGCACTGCAAGACTCCTCCTTGTGACTGGATCCAAATCAGATCCTACGTCACGGAGAAGCTCCAAAATGGCATCGCCAGATAACCGATATGTCTCGATTATTTTTTCTTCTGCCATTCCAAAAAGAGTGACATGAACAGAAAAGATGCGTTCTCTCCGTTGCCTGTCGTGCCTACGCTGCCTCCTTGCAACAATGACCGCAGCCATCTGTGCGCACGGCTGTGCCAGGTAGCCTAAGACTTGACTTTCAAACGTGCTAAATATAGACGCAAAAATAATCAGCGCAATTAGTTTCAGGTTTGGTAAATCACATTGCGTGCGCAAAATGATTCTATTGCATCTACTCCTCCCAATATTTTGCGCGTTCTGGCAGGCACGCCTATATTGCATATTCATGAAGGCAGAAGCGCAAAATGGATAGCGTGTGTTATTTTGCCCGACTGACAGATGCAATCTTCGGTGCGCCCGGTTGGTAGATCAGCATCAACATGTGTTTGCGCGTCCTGACGCGTTTGCGCACATTTTTACACACGCAAAGCTTAAGTAAATCAGGCCCATTGTCTGAAAATTTGTCTAGTTGGAGGGACATAATCATGAGCATTGAGTTAATTTTGTGGCCTGGAGGACAAGTTTTATAAACTCAAAAAAGATCAGAAAAAGCATAAAACTAAGACTGTGATAAATGAAAAACCGTACAAGGTATCAAAAAGTTGAATTCAATTGAAATAGCTGAAAGTCTTGGGTCCCGTTTAAAGATTAAATTAAGTCTCTAGCTAAAAGTATGGCAAAGAAGTTGAGGTTTAGAGGAGAAAGAGCTCAAGGATTTGAACATTCTCTCCATTGACTTCCATTGTAAAAAAAAAAAAAAAAAAGTCAGAGAAAATTATCAATATTTCAGAAATTATTAGACATATTGCAAAGAAAATGTCCTGGCCAAGATATACATTTTGACGTTTAAATGGAGTTTCTACGACAAACGGTATGGGACTAGTAGCGGGCCAAAAACCAGGTCGGAAGAAAAATATTTATAATAAAGAGAAATGTTTTTGACCTGACAACAACATATAGTGGGTTTGCTTCATTCAGCAATCCCACCAACAAGAAAACGCATTTCCTGTGGAAAATGCAGGTGAATGCTGAGAGCTGAATGAGATTGCTGAAGCAATGCTGAAGTCGCTCAAGCAACTTTTGAAGAAGCTGGAGCAAATGCTAAAGCAATGCTAAAGTTGCTGAAGCAATAGCTGAAGATTAAAAGCAGACCTTGTAAGATGGAGGTTGAACGTCCTGAAATGGTTGAAAAAGACCTGAATAGTTTATGTAAGGTGTAACAAACAGCACAAAACTGTACAAAATATACTAAATGTAAAAAACATGTTAGTCTAAAGCTAAATGGCATAAATTGGTTGAAAATAAAAACCAAAGAAAGAAGACATCTACAATCAAAACTTGAAATCTCACACCTGGAGGAGATTACTGACACTATGCTAAAATAGTTGCAAAAGCAGCTTATATTAACTGATGGAAAGTGCTTTGAAAAGGTAGATACCAAAATGTTAAACTGGAGGAGCTGAACTCCATTATCTGCAAAAGCTGAGAACTGAAACATGTTGTTGTCATGTTGTCTCCCTCTATGAGTACTAACTTGTGAACAGCTTTCTGAGTGTGTCTGTGTATCTGTTTGTGTACATGTGTCTGTGTGTGTCTGTTTGTGTGTTTGTGTGCCTGTGTATCTGCGTGCCTCTCTGCTTGTCTGTATTTATGTGTGTAAGGTAATTCACCAATCAGAATGAGCTCCAAAGGTAATCCACCAATTAGAGTATATGTAATGTGGCGTCAGTTAAAATTGCAAACTGAAATTAACAGCCAGTTGTTTCCTGAATGAAACTGTGTCCATCTACCTGTCTATCTGTCCGTCTGTCTGTCTACCTTTCTATGTGTCCGTTTGTGTGTGTTTGTGTGAGCGCATGCGCGTGTATATGTGTGTGTCTCTGGTTTGTGTGTGTGTCTCTGGTTTGTGTGTCTCTGGTTTGTGTGTGTGTGTGTGTGTGTGTGTGTGTGTGTGTGTGTGTGTGTGTGTGTGTGTGTGTGTGTGTGTGTGTGTGCTGTGCCTGTGTGTGTGTAAGAGAGAGAGTCTGGCTGTTGAAGACACAGAGCTCATACAAATCTATGGGAGAAAGGGGTCAGCGAACCTCTCAAACTCCTGCCATTTCATACAAAACAGTACATAATATCAGCAAAATTATCACATGGTCAGCGCCACAAGACTCCCCTGAACACCTTGATGTGGTTTTGGTGTTTCTAGAGCCAAAAATGTGGAAATAGGAGCGAGTTACAAAAATGGGTCAGTTCTGGTTTTCTCCTGAAATCAGCTCCTGAATTTGTATTGCAGTCTATGGGACAGTAGGAGGGTACTCCCATCAGTTTGAGGCTGACAGTTTAAATTCTGGTAGTCTCTGTGCTAAGGTAGTCACTTTATATGAAACAGGACAAATTTGACAACTCCTGAGGAAGAAATTATGTGTCAAGATTAAAATATGTGGCCGTTAGGACGAGTTACACAGATTTTTTCAGACAAATTTTAGAGCTTCTCCCACTCTAGCAATGATGTCATCCACTCAAGCCCTGAACATTCTTTGCAATATATACCCA